CCAACTTCCGAAATACCCCAGGGTCCATTGGCAAAATTTAACTCGGGCTTACTGCCGAAATTTTTTCCCACAGTCCCCAGAATTTTTCCAGTGCCCCAATACCTACTATTGCACCATATGAATTTTGGGCCGTCCACTAGTCACATCTAACAAACAAATAATTGACCAAATAGAAGCATTCCTGATGGAAAATAAAGAAAATAGATATTTAGATAAAAGTTAGGAAAATGACACATTACTGGCGAGGAAATAGTTTCCGAGTCAGATAATGTCATTTTACTAACGAGTTTTGTATTAAATTTTACCCGAAATCGTATTTTAATATAAAATTTCAATTTTCATATAGAACTTTTGATTAATATCAATCTGTCACTGACATGAGTCATTTTATACAGGGTGTCAATTTTAAAACTTGCAGTCGGCCATATTTTCCAAACTAAAGAAGATATTGAAAATCGTGCAAAACCGTTTCGGTGGGTATCGAGGAGTCGAGTGGGAACCAGAATGACGTTATGAGTGACAACCCCCCACTCGCTTAACCCGCTTAACCTTAACAAAAAAATTAAATGTTGACAGAGGGATTTATGGCAAATTGGCCAAGAACTTCAATCTGAGCTGCTTCATTTAGTAATCTTGGTAGCTTCGTTTTTTTTACCCCCGAAACGGTTTTGCGCGATTTTCAATATCTCCTTTAGTTTGGAAAATATGGCCGACTGCAAGTTTTAAAATTGACACCCCGTAGATATTTAGCAATATAAAAAATGGCCGGTAACGTGACGGTGTGGTCGGTAAAGTGACAGGTGCGGCCAGTCTGTTTTTCCTCTGTCATGGAAACTAAAATTTCCTGACAGAAAGTAGGCATAAAAATGAAGGTTTCAGGACGATTTTGGGTAAATTAAATTAAATTCCTTACACAACGCACAATATAAAAGGAACTTATTTATACAGAGTGTTTCAAGTAAAAATTGCACCCCGTAATGAATCATTTTTCTAAATCTAAGGGAATATTTCAAATTTAGTTCATTTTTCTGCTTTTACGTTATTCACCTCCTTAAAAAATCTCAATGGTACATGGAATTCCGTGTTACGTCTCTTAGAAGCTCATTTTCTAATCAAACTTTCACTTCAATTTCCTTCGCTTGGATTGAAAGAAAGTATAAGATTATACACGGTCGGTTGTATCAAGATAGCTCAACGTCAGTTCAGTTGACCGACTGAATGAAGAAAATTAAAATTTAAAAAATTATCCAATCAAGTTTTTTTTTAATTATTTCTAAATTTTTAAGGGGGTTGGGTTTCATTTTTTCAGTTTCTCCCAAATCCGAGGTTCCTTTCAAGCTCCTCTCACTCATATTTCCTTCATAAGCTTGTTTCAATTTCCCATTGTAAATTTTGTTTTATTGTCAGTCTTAGAAATAGTGATTCCGTGTGTGATAAATGTATTTCTTCAGAATGACTTATTCCAAATGAAGATCCTCATCCTCAAGATTTCGTTTGACTGAAATTTATAAAGATAGCAAAGTCGATCATACGCGACTTGTATTTTACTTACATGCGGGGGAAGATTTTCGTCAAGTATCGCCCAACACTTTTAGATTTTATTGCGTTACCATCAATCGGTTAGCGAAGAACTAAATTCCCCTAAGCAAAAATGTCATCATAATTTTGTTTGCGTTGGTTGGCGTCTTTTGCTGTTTCAATTGTGCGCATTTAGAACAGATTTAAAGCGACCGCCAAAAGTAAGGAAGTACAATCTTTATGAATAACAAGGAAAATGCAGACTAATACGGAATGTGTATACTATTTTACTACTAGGAAGTAAAATGCACATATAGTAGTAACAATACTAGGCATATTCTGACAAGGTTGACGCATAAGCGTTTTCTATTAATTGAAGTAAGTAGGGAAGTCAAAATCTGGAATATAAAAAGCAATACAATAAACATTATCAGTTTTAATAATAGTATCGTCAAGAAGGTACGTTTCCAACCTCTTGGCGATGATCATAACGTGCTTGTTACTATTGTTGCTAAGAATTTCGATGCAATGTGTAGTGCCCAGTTTCAAAAACAACATAATATATGTAAATTTGTTTTATAATCAACCAATAAGTGGTTGCATTTCACCTGACACCATTCGATTAAATGATACTATTTTCAAAATAGCCGCAGTAAATGAAGATATTCAAGATTAAATTACGGTGCAGTTCAGGGAATTTCAAGTAAACTTCGTATCGAATTTCGCAATACCAGCATCGAGAGATTATAAGAGAAGGGGCCTTTTTGGATCTTCCCCGACTTGATGAAGTGTTTTTCGTCGGAAACGAGCTCTTCTGGATTAGCGAAAATGCATTTTAAGATTTGCTGTCGTTAACTGGAGTGTACCTGTTGGATAATAAGATCACAGATGTGTCGCCGCGTGCCTTTAATAATCTTCCGAAATTAACCGACGTGTCTTTTCACGGAAATAAATTAGAACATTTTGACCAAGCTTGGTTTTATAAGACGCCAGCCCTTGATTTCTTAACATTGACAGAGAATCGCCTGCGTAAGATTCCACGAGGTGCCTTTATCAACCTGCCGGTTATTGCGCATCTATGGATCAATAGAAATGAAATAGAGTTCGTCGACAAGGACGCCTTTATAGGATTAAGAAATTTGCGAACTTTGAATTTGGCTAATAACAAATTAAAAAGTTTTAACTTCAACGCCCCTTCGAAATTGGCGAGTGTTTATATTTACAATAATAACATAACGTACATATCTGATGAAGTACTGGACGTAATACGACCCAAAATGTTACTTGACATACGTAATAATCCTTTGCAATGTGCATGCCTGGATAAAATAATAAAATGGGGTGAAGCCTTGAATATAAGTGTTCCACTTAGGGAATTTCAACAGACCGGTGCCATTTGTATATTTCCAAAGGCGAAACCGAGCCAGTGCCTTAAAAGAAGTGATAATGATTTCCAAGAGGGATTCTGGGTTAGTTTTGGACGTGAATACACACCAATCGAAGATTTTGATTTTTTCAGTTAAAAATAAACCTGATCAGTAGTTATTTATGAATTTTAGAGCGTGCCATTACTCTTTTGCTTGTTCGAATAATAAAATTTACCTCTCTATCTCTGGTTACCATAACCAGTTCCTTCTAAAGCGTTCGTTCTGGTACACATCTGTGCTGATCTATGTTAGGAAAAACTGAGTAATAAAAAAATAAAACACTTGATAGGGATAGAACATAAGCTATAGTTGACGTCACAATCGATAGTGATTTAATTCAATGATCTCTCAATAGTGTGATGTCAATATTGGAATTTAAATTAATTTTTAGAAAAAAAAGGGGCCAACTCGTAATCGGATGCTTCCCCAAAAACAGAGCTATATCTTTAAGTGAATCTCTAGCAAACGAAACAATTACAATGTAATGGTATCGAAAACCAATATAACAAAATAACAAAATTTACATTTGAACAACAAGTCGCAACGTTCTTGTTTAGCTCATGAAGGGCGCGTAGACTGCAAATCTGTAAACAGACAAAAACAGAACAAACAACAAAAGCGTTGCAAAAAATATCGCGTAAAGTAATGTAAGGTTTGACACTGAGGCAAATTGTATACTGAGAACTGCAATAATTAATACTTAAAATGACCTAATAACTCGAATGATTTTAACCTAGCAAAAGTAAAATTGGATTCGACTACTAATTGTCCTTACTTAATTTTAAGAAAAATACTTAAAAAGTACATACAACAATAGCAATGTAAACAAACTAGTATCAGTAAATTCTTCAAACTAAAACAAACCGTAACTGAAGAATCGTTGGTTTTGGTCTCGGACCAAGTATCGTTAAATTCAAAACGTGTTTACAAAGCAACGGTGTCTAATATCTCCAATAACACATCTAATCGGAAGGATATAATGCAATAAAACTAATAGAAATGAATAACGTAGTAACAAAAAGGATCGGCAACAAATGGGTACATTTCCAGGTATAAATCTCGATGTAGGACAATGGGCCCATTATGGGCGACCTCAAACGACAACAGAATGAACTCCTTTTTGATCTCCCTTTGTGACTCTCCAAAATGCTTTTAATTTCTCCCACCTTCATTGCATCCTTCTCTAATAATTCTTTCTTTTCTTCACGCTTAAATTACACATCGTTCATTCTCTTTAATTCATCCTCCTTCTCACCTCCCCCTTTCACGACTGCTCAAATCCGCTTTATTCTTTTTTCCGTTCACCTTCGCCCTCCCTTCGCGCCTGCTTTCTTTATGTATTCTTCCATCATGCTATCTTCTTTCAAGTTTGCTATGCGTTTTTTCATCGTACGCCTCCTTTACACTATCTTTGACCTCCTTTCTTCATACTGACCCCTGCGCGAATCCACGTATTCGTCATTTGTGCGTTATTTTTTCCACGTTTAGCCTTCCCTTTTTCAGATGTCTCCTTTTCACGTATCCTCCGTTCACACCCCCTTAGAAGATCTATTTCCCACAGCTTCCGGTCCCGGAGAAAAATGACTTTAACTTTAGACTAGGGCTGTACCGGGATTGGACGTGGTAGGTGACTGAAAAGGGCGCTCTTTTATCGATTAAAAAACTCCAAGTCGCTGCCAAAATTAAGAGAGTTGGGAATTTTTTATTGAGTTAGTGTCATTGTCAATCGCTACCGCATTTCTCAAATTTGCATTTTCCCTTCAAAAGGAGCAAAACCGAAGGGGGAAATACGCAGGTGTAAGGGATGCCAAATAATAGATGTTATTAGTAAAATTTAATGGGTAATTTAAATTACGTAGTTATTTTATCAACTACAAATATACAGGGCGTAACAGATGAGTTTATTTGCCCAATCCAACATGGAACATTTTTTAGCTCATTTTTTATGAAACATTACTTGCCTTTTATTTACAATTTCGCAAGCAATGCTAGATTTTTAAGACTTTGATCATTACGACACCCTGTATATTTGAAACTTAAGGTAAATAAGTAACATGCCTTTCCAATTTCCTATAATACACTATTTTCACACGAGTAACAGTGCGAGCTTCTAACCTTTTCTACTAGAAGACAAAGAATGGGTTTACATTCAATACAGAGATTTTGGTTGGAGAAAGGTGATCGTCCTTTTATGAAAGCGTTAAAGTAATACAAAATGAACTGGAACCCTTAATCTAAATTTGCGTGCTAAGGACAAACGTACTTAGAATATTCTACTAATTTTGCTTTAGAATGTGAAAGCACTCGTGCTAAAGCGAGATCATATCTAAATGACGCATTAGATTTTTAACGTTTCGCTCACATAAAAAAAAAGGGTAGCTACGAACCATGCTGCAGATTACTATTTTAATTTATTTTTATTTTTGGTGGGTCGTAAATTATACGTAGCAGGCGTTTCTTAGCGAAAACTACATGTGACATTGTTTCGCTCCACATGGAGCTCTTTTAACCTCAGCAGCCCCTTTAATGCGTCACGATCCAGGCACGTCTCTAACAAATTGTCTTGCAAATACAGTTTTTCCACCGAAGACAAACCTTGGAATGCGTTGCCGTCGACCGTTTGGATGAGGTTTCCATTCAGGTACAGTCTACGCAATTTGTTTAGCCCCAAAAACGTACCACTCCTCAAATGGAGGATGTTGTTGTTGCTCAATACTAGCATCGTTAAGGAGGTTAAAGGCACAAAGGATAATGGTCGGATAGCGGAGATGTTGTTATGTTCCAGATACAACACGAGTAACATTTTCAGCCCTTCAAAGCTCACATCTTCGAACGTGAGCTGATTTCTGGATAAATCCACGTAGGTAACGAAGTTTAAGTGAGCGAAAAAGAGTCTTGGTAAGCTAATTAACGCGTTGTTATTCAAGTAGAGACTCTCGATCGCCCCGGAATTAAATGCAATCTCATCCAAGTCTTCCATGTTGTTGTGCGAAATTGATACGACTTTCAGCTTCGGTACGTGGGCAAATGCCTCCCTTTCCAAAATACTAATGTTATTGTAATCCAAATACAAATACTGCAAATTCACCAAAGGGCGGAATACTTCTGGAGAAACGGACTCAATTTGATTACCATCCAGGTGCAGGTAACTTAAACTTACAAGCCCCCCAAACGTTAACTCGGTGAGCACACTTAAGTTATTGTTTCTAAGTGTGAGAATGTCCAAAGATACCAGAGATTCAAACACATTTTCCGTTAAATTCCAAATATAATTGTTGTCTAGCTCCAGGGCTTCCAGAGTTGTTAAGCGTTCAAAGGGAATCTTCCCAACTTCACTGATATTGCAATCATTAAGTTTTAAGGTTGTGACGTTTGCTGGAAATTGTCCGCTGGTAAGATTCGGAAAATTGCAGTCGACGCACTCCAATTGAAGTTTGGGGTTCTCGAAAGCGATGTGGTGCATTAGCGTGTCCAAGGTGTCAATTTCGGAAAGGTCTGCGCACTTGATGTAGTCGGTCTCTGCGTAGTACCAGTAATTATCTTTGCTGCACTCTTGTTGATGTGTTGACGCGAAAAGTGCGAGCACGAAGCCAAAGCGGAATGTTGATAGCTGAAACAAAAATGCGTTTAATAAGATTTGCCACGTAGTATTACTTACATATTCAATTATCTTGAGACCATAGACTACTTTTGTATACAGGGTGGGCCTTTAGTGTGTGGGTGGAAGATTGTGGGTTTATCAACTTCATTGTAGGGGAATGTTGAACAACCCTTAAGCCCACAACCCCAAAATATTTTCAACGAAATTGTAATTGTTATACAGGGTGATTTATATCAAATTTGCATTTTTTTAATGGCACCCCCTGTATATTATTACATATTTCGATGTCAATTGTAGTGTGATTTTATCTATTACACATGATATCTAAAATGAGTTGTTTTGCTGCAACTCGTCGTTTTTTTCAAAAAGTAGATGCCCAGTAAAAATTGAATATCGCAGTTATCATAAAACATAGAAGGCCGTGACTCTGCAGTGTTACTAATCATGAAATGTACTAACAGACGCCGAACGGCTAAAGTTAAACTTCTTTTGTGTTAAAAAAATTACTCTGTGAATTTTCAAAATTTTAATCGAATGTAACTTGATTTTTTTTAATGAAACTACCAAGTTTTTTTTATCGCATGAAATGTAGGATTTTATTACCGCTCCAACGATATAAACATGTCGTATGTATCTCTTACCTACTCATTGCAATTCAACAATTTCTAATAATTCAGTGTTTTTCAATTTTCAAAACTTCTCAGTAATCAGTAGGCCGTTAAAAATTAGAAACACCAATTCAAATGATAAAACATTTACTCCCAACAAAACAAAACAAAAACTCTTGTTTTTCATAGCCTCTTTTGAAAGATAAAATAATGATTAAATAAATCAATTTGAATAGTAAGCCATGAAAGCCATATTGGAAAATATTAAAACAAAATAAAATTAAATAACATCTGTCAATTTAGTTCGAGGTTTAGTTCATTGACATTTACAATTCTGTTTTTGATTGCTAAAAATGGAAAGTTTTTCTTTTATTTTATTTGGTTTTATTTATTTATTTTTTTTTATTTTATTACGGGGCATCTACTTTTTGAAAAAAGACGAATTGCGACTAAACGACTCATTTTAGATATCATGTGCAATACATAAAGTCACACTAAAATTCACCAAGAAATCGAAATATGTAATAATATACATGGAGTTCCATTTAAAAAAATGCAACTTTAATATAAATCACCCTGTATAACAATTGCAATTTCGTTGAAAATATTTTTAGGTTGTACCCTTACGCGTTCTTCAACATACCCCGACAATGAATTTTAAATATGGCCGTTAATGAATCCACAATCTTCCATCCACACACTAATATAATATATTATTAATAGTCCACCCTGTATAATATTGTGACGACTTTTTTGTTGTTTGTTGTTATCGATCTGGTTGCTCGATGCTTTATTTAAATCCTTATGCCATCTATGTAACTTCTTTGTAATTTAGTTTTATAGTCGTTCGAGGTCGCGCAGAACTTTCTTTAATTTCTTCCGACGCGCGCACTTTGTGTTCAAAACGCATTCTCGATTATTACTTGCAAGACGATACACGCAATTGCTTACTTGACAATTTTGTCGACCATTTTTGGGATATACTGGCGCTGTGTTAAATTGAGTGAAGTTTTCTCTCTTTCTTCCAAACTTCACTGACGCTATTTTCGGATTTATCTTACAAGTTTTAAGGCCGTTTTGCAGTATGTAACAATTACGCGTCAACTTTTACTTTGATTAATTGGATTAATTTTGGATTTTCGCAATATTAATATATGTGTATACACTGTACACATACTATTTTTAATATTTCTAATGTGTCAACCGGAATTACGTTAACACGTAAATTTTTTAAGGAAAGCCCTTAGATTATAGATCAGAACTCATTATCACATGCGGGATTACCTATACTTTAATATGGATCCGTTCAGACAGTTGCAATTTTTTTCTAAAAAGTTAGGAAACATCGATAGATAATTTTTGTATCTCAAAAAGAATACAAAGCAACAATGAAACCGGACCAAGAATTGAGTCTTGTGGTACCCCAGACGTGATAGGGAGTTGTGTAGAGCAGATACATTGAGTGTGCCTAACCCCCATTATCCAAGGTAGTTTTCACGCTTTCCACCACATTCCTTTTTCAGATTGAATAAACCTATCTGCTACAAATAAACGAAATTGCGCGTAGTTAAAAAAAGGACGGATCTCTGTGATGACAATAAACAATTAATTAATTATGCTATACAGGTGAAGGTTAAAGAGGCATACTATTTAATTAAGTGATTACCATTGAGAGTAAGTGCAATAATAATAATGTCAATGGACATCAGTAAACATTCTTACCATAATTTAGAAAAAATGACGGTCAGCACACAACTGTTTCATTTAATGCGTTATTGGGGTTATCATCGAAGCATGTATGTTGAGTAACTGCGTTGTAATTTCCGATAAGTAAATACACGTTCGTAGGTCACAGACAAACTATTTCAGCATACATTGGTACATGGTAGGTATTTGTTACAGATTGGGGGATATAAATATAAATGTTGAGTGCGCATATAGTGTCTATTCAAGTTTTGGCGATGCGGTTCACAGCGTCTGTTTTCTATTACCTACATGTAATGACAAAGTGGTAATTAGTCGTCATTTAAATATTTAGTAATAACGAAAAGTTTGGTTTTACTGCAACAATTTGACCTTAGCATCCTGGTTCTCCAATGTTTAACGTAGGATGACTGCAGGAATTTCCTGGTTAAAATAGACAATTTCGAACCTTGTTGCAACGTATTGGTACCAAAGGTTTGCCTGGAATCGTTTTGACTGCGTGAATAGGAGAATTGAACTTAATATCACGATCCTGTGCAGAAACAAAGACTGTCAAGGTCCTTTCTCGAAAGGTCAAGAGTGCTTTTAACGCTGCTTGCTCTTGTTGATGGGAGAATATAGTACCGGGGGATCTGGGAGGGTATGGCGTATCCCCCAAAAATACTCTTTAACAAATAACTTAATAACTTTCTTCACTTACCCTTAGCACTCTCGTGGTAGTCTTCGGGAAAATATAATCAAATCTTCATGTCCAGACCCCCCGGTTCTTCCACAAGAGTATTCAGCCTTAAAGACACTCATGATACCTGTTTTAATCATCGAATGAAAGATGTTAACTTTCCCATAAAACTTTATTTTATAGCAGAAGCACCATATAAATGATTGTCAAACTTCTAAAAATTCTGAATTTAATTTATTCATCAAAAATAGAAAGGTTGGGTTCTTCTGTCGTTTCTGTGGAAACAGTATTGTTTTCTGTGTTGAACATCATTTTATTTCGTGCCCCGCGTCCCATTTTTAATAGGAATGACAGATGTCTTTACATTTATTTCATTTTATCTAAGTACTGCTATAAAATAAAACTTCTATAGGTATAATTTTTATTGCATTTAACTGAATCAACTACTTACCATTCTATACAGTATCCGAACAACTCAAGGCTGTGTTCAGAACTATAAGGCTTAGATCCTAGTCTCTACAAGAAAATTTATTTGTATTTGTTCAATTTTACGCATAGAAAGAAATTTTAAAGGCAAAATATTCGGGAGTTTTGTTCAGGGAGTTCGGGATAGCCCTTTAATATAGCTCATAAGAACTCTAATCTAAATCTAAATGAGTAGCAAGGTTGGTGATTGGCAATTTATAATAAGAAGACTATAGCGAATCTTTAGTTTTGAGACCGAACTACAAATTACTCCCGTGGAAACTTTTGGTAGGGTTTTGTTTAGTCTCTAGAATTTTTTATATTACAACATGCAAAAACAACATATAATGCAGATTTTTTGTAAGGTCTCTTCACCTCTCAACAACCTTACTCTCCGGATAAACTCCATTTTGACGCCATAGTTGGTAAGATACCTATCTGGACCCATGGTGGTGCACATCGTATGCGAAAAGGTGGATGCGGCATCACTAACCACCTTCGGAAAGAACCTTGCAAGCACCAAAGAAGGTACCACCATTCGAGCAGTTCTTGACCTTCCTAGAGGCAAGGTTTCAATAATTGGAATTCGCCAAGGGCAACAAAGCTGTAGAAACCACCAACAACAGAGGCCGGGTGGAAAAACGTTGGGCACGAATATACCACACCAACTAGGATGCTCAATCTGTAAAGAATATCACCTTGTGCCAGTATTCGGCGTAGGGCAGACTGGTGCGCGGAAAAATCGAGCTCGAGATCAAACCCAGGTTACCTAGTAGCTTCATCGTTACCGGGTTAGGGACTTCGCATCCAAGTAAAAAAGGAGAACCAAAAGCCGACCCTCACTACAACGTTCCTGGTCCAATCGACATTGTAATTGGGTCTGATGTACATGATGGACTAAACAAACTGCAAAATACGGAAATGGGCTGGATTGTCGCTAGGAAAGAAGGTAAACCCATACAAATCATGGACTTCATCACGGACGAGAGCGTGCTGACGAAGTTTTGGGAAATAGAAAAAAATCCAAAACCAAGAGACAAAGAAAAAGGCAACCTCCCGCGTTGTACAAATGGAAGGAAGTTTTCCTACGATCGGGACTTCGAATCCAATTACAAATCCTTTATGCGGAACTATGCAGAGCTAGGACATGTGGTAGGTATCCTCGGAATGCATATTTCTTCTATAATTGGAGATAGAAAAATAGCGTAAGAAGAAAAAAATCTGGTAAAGGTACATATTGTCACAAAATTAATTTAGTGAACAATATAACAATTTAAAAACCACAATGCAAGATAATAATAATTACCTACACAACTGATGAAAAAAATGTTAAGAGGTCTAATGTAATAAACTAGTGCAATGTATTTAAACTTGTCTTAAGTTATACATATAATAGTTTTTCGTTTGTTTTCTTCGCTTCCTGTTGTAAATTTTGTGTTTTTGTTTAAATTTCCACAGCTACTGCGATTGGTTCTAAAACACATTAAGCTTTCTAAGGTAATTATAACATATTTTATATCATTGTAAAGGTAATTTCAAGTTCTTTAAGAGTTTTGTTTTCTGATGCTCTTTTGTTTTTGTATCATTTTTTTAAATAATATGTAGCTTTATCAGAAATTGAAATTTTGCTTGGACACTTTTTTGCTATCTCTAATAATAAAAGAAATATAAGTTTGGACATGCATTGGTCGTAGGTTTTGGCACAAAATATTTATCGATTTTTTTTAATGAAGAAATTTATTTAAATCCTCAAAAATTACAAATCAATACTTAACTAAACTATAAGTAGTTTTTGGGAACAAGAGGTTTGTGGTGTTGTCGAAGCCAATTTTGAGATCTCTTGAGTAATGGCATGATACTAGGTCTAGCCAAAATCATCAGCTTGATGTTCGTGGACAAACTGAAGCAATTTGAAAAGGAAGTTATCCGTGACTATTCAAAGCTTTACCCTTCACACTTCCCACAAAAGATCGGGATACACCCCTGTTAGAAATTGCGCACCAGAGAAGGATTTTATCTGCAAATTATCAGGGATTCCTCTACGTTATCCGTATAAGATCCATCGTTTCCCTTCATTTCAGAATTACTCAGAATGAAATACTTTTTCGTCATCCAAAATAATGATTTTCTCATTGGCAAAGTGTACCCTCAGTTGACGATGGCATTTTGGTATACGAAGGAGTTGTGCTTGAGAGTATTTGGGGCACTTACATTGCTTTCATTTTTGCGGGATTAATCCCGTACAGAAATGGAGCGGGATCCCGCGGATTGCGAAATTTATCGACCAAGCTTACCACGGGCACGACATTGTTTAAAACGCGTAGCGGGAAAGTGCAGATATCTACAGGCGGTCCGTAAACAGTAAGAATATTGGCTTTCCGTTTTTCTATACATTCACAACTCCCATGTATTTCATTTATTTCTCAATTTGTAGCGTATTTTCCAAAAGGCAAATTAATGCTATTGTCCGCCTGTCCGTCTGTACCACTACTAATCATCCAATTGCAGCCGTGCAAAACTAACAGGCGATCAAAAAAGGATTGACGTCGAGTCGCGTGTGAACAAAAATTCCAAAGGTGACTCGATAGCAACTCTTTTTTGATCGCCTGGTATAAGCCAGTGTTTTGTTCAACTTGGGGGTCGCGAGTAAAAGAAAAATTCAAATGTTTGTAGGTTCTATATACTACAATGAAAAACTACAATTTAGTGCGAAGCTTGTGTCTGTTTATTTTTCAATAATTTGTTGACACGTGGTTTTATTTTTGATACGCGAAAGATTCCTGATTGAACCTTATTTCATTTGTTTATATGTATATTTTTTCAAAGACGTTGACCAATTAACTCAGTTGTCCAAGGAATCCTTGGATTCCATCCTTAGCTATTGGATACTTTCATGGTAAGAGAACTACATCGTGTTGGTGTACGTGCCGATAGCTACGTATGATGAATTTGAACAATGGAAGTTGCAATTAATGTAGCTCCCGAAATTTGGATCACTTCAATTAAATCAGAAGGTAAAATTGTGCTCAATTTCTCATGTTGCAGAATTCTTACGATTTTTTTGCACAGTTATGATTAACTGTACTTAGGTGTTTATTTTAGATCGATATAGGTCTAAGCAAAGAGTATACAACGAAGTAGGTATATACTCTTTGGTCTAAGTAATGAACATTAAATACGTAGTCTTTAAAGTAGGTAATTTTATTAATGCGCCAGGGGGCAGTGGCGTAACTACAATGCCTCAAAGGTACACAATGAGGACGGGCCCCGACTTAAAAGGGGCTCCGGAAAAAAATGTACAAAAATTTAATTCGTGTATACAAAATCCTGAAAAAAATTGAAAAAGAAACGAAGGGCCATGCACATGCTTACATTTACAGTTTATAGATACAGTCCGCAGAAAATTCTGAATCATGGTTCACGGAGGGTAAATAAATAGCATTCCGAAGTCTCTTACATAAAGTACATGCAATACTTTGTTAATTAGCGGGACCTTCTCCAATCCAGAAGGTATCTGGAGGTCCTGGATATAGTAACCTTAGACTGAAGTTGTATTTCGAGATGAATGCCGCTAAGTAATTTTAACACTCCAGCGGAGTAACAGACATTTAAAAAAGGGCAGATTCATACACAAAGAATTGAAGTCGCTAATCAAACTAAACGAGTTTAAACATTGAAGGAACTGGCCAATATTAAACAAATCAATATAAGGATAATATTTTAAGTGAAACAATTAAATAACAAACAAATGCAGGGGTTACGCACCCCTAGTTACAAATAGTCACAATAAAACGAAGAGTTATAAATAAAATTAAGTACATTATTACCTTTTGTTATGGCACAAATACCACACAAAGCTTGACAATTAAAGTTCGAACAAAATCAACTGGATTCTGACTGAACGCAGTGACGCAAAATGTTACAATGGACCTGTGAACCAATGATTTACAAAATGCAAAATCAGTAAAGCTAAATCAAGACACTATTTTCTACATATACAGATTAACATCGTTTAAAAATTGTTGATATAAGCAAAGAGTAACTTACTCTTTGATATAAGGAAAGGGCCCTCAAATATTTTTGAAGACGGGCCTCTAAAATGAAGTTACGCCACTGCCAGGCGGTTGCCAGGATTTTCAACTTGCAAAGAGGTTGCCTATTCAGAAGAAGGTTTAAAAACACTGGTTTATAAACAAAGAATACTTATATAATAATGTATAAGGGATCTGACGATCCCTAATAATTCAGCAAGTAGGTAGGTAACTACCAAATCATCACAGGTACAATACAAATATTCTTTTTCGTAGATTGTAATTCGATGTGGCAAATTGAATTGAAATACCGCGATTAATCAAAGTACTTTTTCCAGTATTTTATTTGAAGTAGACACTGTCCGAAAGGCATTAATTTTGGAAGACACTGTACGTATTGGACCAAGTGTTGCCCTCTTCAGTTCATATAGGGAACCTTTCACCACCCACTTTTACAGATTGGTTGTTATCTAAACTTAAAGTGTAGATTCCGATGTTAACAGTTTACTAAGCTAACCTCCAGATGCCTGCTTGATCAACAGATGCGTAACTAAATTGAGGATTTTTCTTCCCCAACATCTTCGCACAGGTTATTACAGTAAACATGTACTCCAAATGCAATAATATTTGGATTCCATAGCCCACTAAATTGCAGTAGTAATTCGAGATTCCGTACATCCTTCAGTAATTACAATAGCACCATTTACTGTCTTCGTAAGTAGCACTAAACTGCCTCAGTGTTGACTAGTGACCTTTTGTTACAGCTCTCCTTTAATCATCTTTTAAAGAAATGACGGAATCAACTAAGAAATCGGCAAATGTCGCAATGGAGCAAATAATTGAAAACATGACGTCAGGAATGCATAATTTAGAGGGACAGTATGTTCAGATGAACGCGGCACCGTCCGAACATTCATGGAATGCTCCAAACCCCAATCCCTACATACGATATTCGAACATCGCTCCCGATCCTCACATGGTATACTCGTTAAACCCACAACTGCCGCACTATCCTAGAAATATTCCCTACAACTATCTGCCACACGCAAACTTATATCCTGCCGAGCCGTACGAGAACGACGTTCAGTGCAACTCCAATTACGTGATGTTTCAAAACAAGGACATTCCCGCATTTTACCAAACTGACTACAAGTATTTCCTACGGCATGACAAGCCACCCCCGCATGGCGATCATTTAATTCACAACGCGAACGACGTAAGTGCGACTTCGAACGCGAATCCCACTCAGTTGATCGACAACGTTGTGGGGAATTGGGTGCCGAACATGACCGGAACGTATTCCCCCTTCGGTAGCACGCAACCGCTGAAAAAGGGCATCGCGAACATTTTCGAGGTACAGCAAGACACGGGCTGCTTCAACAATATCGCCTCGTTCGAAGATTGCAAGCTGCTCGACGGCGAAAACAAGGAGGAAGTGCACACTTTCAATTTTAACCGCGACACGAAAAAACCTCGCATGGTCGCCGAGGTGAAACCCATGCGCCCGACGTATTCCGACGTTCTATCGAAGTGTGCGCCCCCGGTCACGACGAAACTCGAAAAAATTGATCTCAAAGACACCAAAATACGAAAAGAGAACATCAAGAAAAGCGCCAAATGCGAGAAGGTCACGAAGACGTCGGCGCAACAACCTCGTTTGAAGTGCGATCCGAAGGAGGAACGCAATGCGGCCAATACGAAAACCAAGAGCGCCAAGTGCGAGAAGGCGGACGAAAGTCGTAAGTGGGCGTCACTTGACAATGTCAGCGAGTTAAACGACGACGAAAGGCGCAAGAAGAAATCCGAGGACAGCCCGTTTAATACCAAGGCGTCCTTTAGAACTGGTGGCCCGGTTAAAGTTGGAAAGTTCGGATCCGACTTTGAAGATGTCGACACCGGGAACAAAAGTGACATATTGAATATAACTAAGACAACTGTACGTAAGGGGAGTAGGTTGAGTGTTAAACAGAAAAGCTCCGAGTGTTTCGTCAACGGTGAAAAGCCGCCGCCGGGCGCGAAACGTGGCCAGCGGACGCGCAAGAGGGAGAATCGCATGCCGTTCGGTAAAGATCTGTGAGGTTTTTACAATGTTACATCGTACGTTTTTTTTTAGCAATTATCGGGCAAAAAATGAAGCAATACATTCCGGGATGGTGGAAGCTGTTTGTTCATTTCTGTTTGTGGCTTATTCATTTGATATTTGATATCTGCATTTTGAGCATTCATTTAAGCCGGGATGTGTAAGTATACCAGAGTGTCTCAAGTATCCCCCTTTTTTATAGTAGGGATCAATTACACTTTTATAGCTCCACCACTAATTGAAATGTATACAGGGTGCTTTTTTGGGAGCTCTAGATAAACGTGAAATAGGCAGGTTTTTGAAAATGTGTAATTAGGAGTTACCAAATACCTTAATATATTAACATTGAATTTATATTAATACAGGAACTCGCTACTATTTGCATTTGCGTAACGCAAAACAAGGAAAAGAGCGCCATCTACACGGCCCGGTGTGGAATGAAGGAGCAAATTAATTATACAGGGTGGTGACTTGCGTACGCATCATAGGGATTTCAATGGAAAATTCATAACATGATGCGATTATTGGCTCCCCAAATTATTTTAGAGCAAAAATGTATTAAGGTTTTTTGTAGAAAAAAAATTTTTACGTCAATCAACCGTATTACTTTTCAATTTTTTGCATAATAAAGACGGAAAATTGGAAAAATTCAATCCCCATCTTTTTCAATAATCTGCTATGCCATGGAATTTTCTAAAACAAAAAGATCTCCAGTTATCAATTAGCAGCAGTTCGAAATGGCTTTTATGATCGACTTGGTTACTATCTTGCAGTTAATCGTGACTTATTCAAACATTTATTGTAAATTGTTATATTAGGAAACCGTTTCTAGTAATTTGGTCTTTCTTCATGTTGAATTCGCTGTTCTAAATATAATACTTTTTGATAGAATTTGATTTGTTTTATAGCAGACATTCCATGGCATGTCGGATATTGGCGTACTTTTTGTATTATAAAATTCCATGGCATCACAGATTATTGAAACAGATGGGGGTTTTATTTTTCCAATTTTCCGTCTTTATTATGCAAAAAATTGAAAACTAATACGGTTGATTGGCGTAAAAAATTGTTTTCTACAAAAAACCTTAATACATTTTTGCTCTAAAATAATTTGGGGAGCCATAATAATCGCATGTTATGAATTTTACATTGAAATCCCTATGATGCGTTACGTAAGTCACCACCCTGTATACTGGGTGTTGAGAATACAAAGTCTATTCGACATGGGTTTGAAGACTAAAATAGGCAAATGTAAAAAATATCGCATTTTCACCAAGAAAATGCAATTTTTGGCTTTTTTTCTTTGAGGGTTCCTGTAACACGATTAGGCTGTAGCATAAAGTTCAACTTGAATTCTAATTGTACGCAATTTCCAGGATATGCAACTTTTACAATTGGATAACCGTTCAAAGATCATCATTACTCGATATAACCGTTACCATTCTAGGGCGAGTACGATTTTTTAAATGGCTATGGAGTAAATTCGCGAAGAAAAACGACACGGAAGAAACAAACAGACCGTTCTTGCATTCGGGTTTACACCACAACATTACGATGCCTTCGACCGGTGAGGAAGCGATGAAGCGGCTGCTCGCCTGCAAAGGTAAAGATCCCTACAGCATTCTGGGCGTTACTCCGACGTGTACAGATGACGATATAAAAAGATATTACAAAAGGCAAGCCTTCCTCGTGCATCCCGATAAAAATCAGCAACCGGGGGCGGAGGAGGCGTTTAAAATTTTAGTCCACGCGTTCGATATGATCGGGGAACCGGAAAGGAGAGCTTCGTACGATCGGGGGGTTGCCGAATCGGCGCAGGTCGAGCAAGCCTGGAGCGAGCTCACTGAACTTTTAGCGCAATTACAAAAGAAAGTGGAGGCAGCTGCGAATACGATTCGTTGTAGCGCTTGTGGCTTACGACATAAGCGCATAAAGGTAGATCGTCCGAGCTACGCGGCGCGAAACTGTAGCAACTGTAAAATTCATCACGCGGCTAGAGAGGGAGATATATGGGCGGAAACTCGTTGTCTGGGATTCCTGTGGCACTACTACGCTTGTATGGAGGGTGGCGTTTACGACATTACAGAATGGGCAGGATGTCAAAAAGAAAGCTTGAAGCATTTACGACCAAACTCACACAACGTTCAATATCGAATAGCACTAGGAAAACAAAACAATCAGTCCCGTCATCACAACTCGCCCAGAAGTGAAAGACCTCCGGATCTTGAAAATTTACTAAACAGTTTGTACGGGAATCAGGACTCAACGATGAATTCAAAACGTAAAAATAAAAAGGCAAACAAGTAATATTAAACAATATATTCCTCTTCATGCTTTAGTTGTCTGACGAATTACATTTTGTTTATACAAAAATTGAGTTTTAATCTAATGCCCCTTCTAAAAAACAAAGCTGAGGTACGCTATCGATTACTGTATTAATATCACGCCTTTGAACTGTTTTCCTTTTTGACTGCATTGCGTATTTCGCGGCTTCTCTTCCCAAATACTGCAAGAACAGCTCCTAGAAAAGATAAAATGCGTTATGTGCGTCTAAAGATAAATCTCGCGCTTACTGCTGCCTTTGTGACTAGGACAACACTATCCTGACTAATTTTCCCATTCTCTGGGTCCAGTTTCATTATAGTTTTTACTCTGGTTAGTGGTAGTTTTGGTAGTTTCTTCGGCTGTTCCTTTTCCGGTTGTGGGGCTGTTACATTTGTAAACAGTTCGCCGTCGTCTACGTTAATCTCTAAATCGGAATTTGGCAGAGTTGAGTGCGCGGATTCTTCCATTTTTCAAGAAAACATTAATCAAGTTCAAAATACTGGGAAAGAAATGTAAATAAAAAAAGTAAGGTTAGAAAAGTATTTGTGATTGTGAATATTGCATCGCTCACAGTATACATGGTGGTGCAAAAAGATGTGTATGATTGACAATTCCAAATTCGCACTACTGCGACCATTGCGTACTGAATTAATGACTTGTATAAACATTCCTATACATGGAAGTCCACCATTCGCCTGCTTCTTTGTCATTCTAGTTTTAGGTTGTCATTTCAAAATTAATGAAATTTCGTACCGTAAATCCTCTATACCTACTGAATATCGCTTAATCTCGAGATATTTTATTTTTATTTTACGTTTCTTGATCTCATACACGAAAACAAAAGTAAGAGATACGTCGATTAAATTATTGGAAAAAGCTAGCTATTGATACAGAAAATCAGATATATTATAGTAACAATTTTGGATTAACATGTGCTTTAATCTATCTTTGAAACTCGCTTTTGTTGGTGCATCTATTATCTCCTTGGGCAGTTTGTTATAGATCCTAATCGTCATACACTTAAAACTGGCATAAGTGGGGATTATACGTAATATCGAGATGTAAGTCGGGATTATATTTAATCCCAAGATGTATGTAAGTTTTTAACTTTTTTCCGTTTTGTTTTTTCTCCAACTGAAGACATCACAAGAAATCGTTTTTTGAGATTTCTAGTTATGCATTGGGTAACAAAATTTAAGAATATTTTAAATGAAAAGCATCAGTTTTTATTACTTGTTTTGTAAACCTCCTGTATAAAAGAACAAGTGGAACTACTCCCTTGTTTAGTTCATTAGAACTACAGCAAACATAGCAAACTCTACGTAAGTGGCGGCGCCTCTGTAGCAGAGATTTGTTAATAGCACTTTTTGTGTATATCATTTTGGATGTTTATTTAATATATTTAATGGATTTCTGTGCATTTTTTACGAACGGATGATACAAACACAAAAGAAGTAATTTCGAAAGACACGTCCGGCTCCATGGAGGCACGCAAGTCGTTCGTATGAAGTTGCTGGTCTCAACACAATATCAAGTAAACCATGATGGATGTTCTAAAGAGGAATTTAATTTTTATTTCCGATTTCTGCCTTTATATCGGTAAGTGCACAAATATTATTTTACTTTTGCAACCCTCTGGTCACAAGGTACTCCACAAATTACGCTAATATCTTATTGTTTATGTTACCGGTTAAACAAAATATTCGCGTAATGGCGGCAAATTCAAATGTTCTAATCGCACCTTTTTTTTGCAGATTGACCTTTTCAACCGTCGGGATTGGAGTATAATGTAAAATTGCGATAGGATTATTGTCGGACGGTCTTCTTTGTTATTATACAACATGGACCCCGTCCTTCAACATTTGGGAGATGTAACGATACAACGTCTTGAAAAACCGAAAGCCAAGCAGGACTTACCCGTAACGGAATCAGAAGCGCAAGAGCCGCTGGAGGAGGATGTGCCTGGTGAAGCGAATGAAGGCTTAAAGCGAAATTTGGAAGATCCCGCGGAGGTTGTACCAAAAAAACTTAGGATAGGTTCTAGTGAAATATCAATAACGGAAAAGTCGAGGGCTACGCCCTCCCTCCCACACCCATCTCAACTGCCAAGCGACGAAGAACTATCGGATTATGAGTCCGAGTCGGATTTCGATTACGAAGGGGAGGACAGTGAGACGGCTAGTATAAAGAAAGAGCTTCCGAGCATTCTAAAAGAATCTCCGATAGAAACGGACTCTTCATCTTTTCTAGATCTTGTAGACAATAGCTTTCTTGATAATAAAGCTCCACCGATTACCATTAAGACTGAAAGCGACAGCGGCGACGCCGACGATTACGAGTACGACATCAAGGAGAAACTGAAGGAGATGGGCGAGATCAGCTTCGAGACGGTTAAAAAGGGCGAGAAACCGAAGAAGGTCGAAACGGTCAACGAGAACGAGGTGACCGTTACTCCGGCGAAAAAGTCGACCGACGAAGAGGGACTCGATAGAAAAGGTCCGCTGTCTAGCAGTATGTTGCGGCGTAATATTCGCGAGGTGATGGACGAGGCCAAATTGGACGAGTCGACTTTGGCCGCCCAACGACAGGAGATGGAGAGGTTGCAGAGGGTCCAGGAGCAGCAGAGGATAATACGCGAGGTGCAACGACAGGTGGCGCAGGAGAAAATGCAGAATAAAGTGCTTTCGCTTTTGCAAGGAGGGAATCTTTCTAAACCAGGTAGGGTAGGGGTTTGGGGGATGTAATTATAATGTGAAAAAATGGGTTGCTTTAATTTAACGATAGGTTTTGATTAGGGTTAAGGCGAGGGGGAAACCACTTCCTTAAAATTTGTACACCAGATTGAAAATGGAAATAATGAGAGGATTGAAGTGTGTAATGAAAGATTGAAATAATAATGAAAGAATGAAATCGTAAGAATTGAAAATGAACTATTCGTTTTTGTAAATAATGAAACCGTTAATGAAAAATATTTATAACCATAATAAGAAAAAATGAGGAAATGAAAAATAAATGAAGAGAATTAATAGAATGAAAAAGAATTAATCTTAGAATTAATAGAATGAAAAGAGAATGAACAGATTGAACGTAATGAAACTGATAATGATAATATTGAAAGATTGAAAATGGAATGAAACTGGAATGAAAAATTCATGTACACCAAATTGAAAGAGTGGTTTCCCCCTCGGGTTAAGGTAATGGGACAACAGAGAAAAGGGGGAAACCAAGAGGCAATTTTTAGCCATTGAAAAAAATCTTAGTTGCTTAAAATGAATTGGTCAACCCCTCAATCAAAGACCACAAACAAAAAAAGTATAGCTTGGAGTGCATTTCAACTGTTACTAACATTCACATGTCACATTTTGCACTTTGAGAGATCAAGTGGGTGTTTGGGAAATTGCCCAGTATTTTTTAGAAACAATTGAATTTTGAGTCAAAGCATGAAAAAGGGCGCGGAGTTATAACTCTTGGGTGATAGTTTCAAAGTAACCAGAATCTTTTGTTTGGATTCGATTCTTATCAATAAGTACAATGTGAGTCTGTTCCCATGGGTCGATTTCTTTAGGAATATTAAAATTACCTCAAAATTTTACATACACTTTCAAGAAAAATTTCAAAATCAAATGTTTTACATTCATTTCTCAACAAAACATCCGCGGGTAACTAGATCTTGCTGAATAAAAATTATTTTTTACTTTATTATTATTTTTGGTGCATCTGCGTGCTAATTAAGTATTGACGAAGCACTATGATTGTTAATAATTCCAACCTCGCAAACTTGGAGAACACTTTTACTTTAAATGAAAAAATTTGTTTTATTTTAGGGACTTCCGGTGCAAGGATTGGAAATACAGTATTAGTTAAGTTACCTAACGGCGAAACAAAACCTATGACGAAAATAGGAAAACGCCCATTCGAATTATTAAAAGTACAAAAAAGCCCCTCGTGTCCCTTACGACCCCCCAAAAGTCTACTATCGCCAGTGAGGCCTTCCGCTCAAGGTCCGATGATGCAGCCCGCTCAAGGTCAATTAACGCCATCCGTTAGCATAGCACCCGTAATGAAAAGGCCGATGCAACTATCTCGACCACCCAGTGACAGCGACAGCGAAAGCGAAGAATTTAAATACCAAAAAATGCTGTCGAAGGCTAGAGGTAAGGGTTTTTTGAACTTTCGGCGTGTAAGTACAAAAGTGTTGTTTAACAGTTAAGGAGGCGCCGAACGTCGCCGCCACCATTGACCTATCGTCCGACGACGACTGTGTTGTCGTCTCCGAAACGGAAGGTGACACCGGTGGTGATGAAATGGTGGAAGACCCCGCCAATTCGGGCATGCATACGAACGACGAGTTTAATCAACCCGATGAGCAGGGCCGGGTGGTTATCAATATCGGTCATCCGGATGGCGAACCCGACATATACGTCGCCCCGCAAATAGCGCGCATTATAAAACCTCACCAAATTGGCGGTGTTCGGTTTTTGTACGACAACGTGGTGGAGAGTGTGAACCGTTTTCAAAATTCCACCGGCTTCGGTTGCATATTGGCCCACTCCATGGGTTTGGGTAAAACTCTGCAGGTTGTATGTTTTAGCGACATATTTTTACGTCATACCCCCGCGAAGACGATTTTGTGCATTATGCCCATAAACACCTTACAAAATTGGCTGGCAGAATTCAACATGTGGCTGCCTACGGAAGAAGACGCGAACAGGAGTCCACTGCACAGTTACGGTGAGGTTAGGTCGAGGAATTTCAACTTGCATGTGCTTAATGATAGTCATAAAACTCTGGTGGCACGTTCCAAGGTCATACAGGCGTGGAGAAATGACGGTGGGGTTCTACTCATCGGGTACGAGCAGTACCGCCTACTGTCATTGAGGAAGCAACCGAAATCTCGACGGAAAGCCAGCTTAATTGAACCGGAAGATGAGGATAAAAATAAACTTATTTTTGACGGTAATTTTTTTGTGAAGGTTTTGCCCTGGCAATTTTTTCAAAATGAATCTATTAGCTTGAAATTTAGACAGAAGGTAGGGAATAGCCTAAGGGTCAAAATCTCTATTATACCAAAGGGCACTTTCGCCCTGGGTGTGGTTGCCACCCTGTTTCAGGGGTGGCAATTTTTTACTGATTTTTTAAGACTAATTAATTCTAAGCAAAAAGTGTTCTATATACATTTTAGAGGTGTCACACGCAAAAAATGGCAAAACTATGCCTTTTTCGATAAACATTTCTAGAATATTATTTGAAGTGTTTAAAAAAACCTTTCTTCTTTTTTTAAAAATCAACTTTAGCATTAAAATTGGACATTAGGGTATCACAAGAACTGAAATTTCACGTAGAATCCAGAAATGCAATTAAAAAAGGGGATTACCGTTTAAAATAACGAAGATACTAGCTACTTCCGGTATATCCGGAAGTGCGGCCATTTTGAAAATATTCTACATCGATTCTTCCTTCAGAGTATCTCCTAAGTACAAGTTTTCAAAAACCTACCTATTTCACTTTCCCAGAAATGTTTAACTAAAGCTCCCAAACAAACACCCTGTATACAGTGTGATTCAAAAGGAATATCACCACTTTGTAAATCTGAATTTTAATTAAAAAACAAAATAGAAACTTAAAGTAAGTATTTTCCACTAGAAAATAGAATATGACCCCACTCTAGAGATATCGATATGTTTATACGTGTGCGGCTGCCCGAAATTGTTCCCTTTGCACAAATACATAAATACTCCTCTATGAGCTGTTTAATGTTTATATCAATGTTTAATACACCACCCATGTTTTAGGAGGTTAAACTTTGTTGGAAATTCATTTGTCATCAATAATAAATTGTTAACTTTTTGAGGGTAAATACTTTTTTTTATTAAACCACAATAAGGGTTAATTTTGAAGGGTTGAAATACAGGGTTGGCCATTAGTGTGTGGGTTTTATTAACGCGCATATGTAAAATGCATAGTGGCGGAATGTTGAGGGACCCTTAAGGCTACAACGTAAAAATATTTTAAACGAAATTGCAATTGTTACACAGGGTGATTTATATCAAAGTTGCATTTTTTAAAATGGAGCCCCCTGTGTAATATTACATTGATTCTTTGGTCAATTTTAGTGTGACTTTATGATTTCTAAAATTAGTCGTTTAGCCGCAATTGGTCGTTTTTTCAAAAAGTAGATGTCCAGTAAAAATTGAATATCGCACTTATCATAAAACTTAGAAGGCCGTGACTTTGCAGTGGCACTATACTGCATTCATTATAAGAAGGTAGTAGATGGCGCTGTGTTTGAAGATAGTCACACACAGGAAAAATATAAAACTGCAAAAAATTTGAAAAATATAAATATAAATCACACGATAACACGCTTGGATCTTTGAAATTCACAGCTAATGACAGTTCGACAGTTTAGTTCGTAACTGAAACTTCTAACAGACAGAATTCGTCACTCATTTTATTTTTCAGGGTAATACTAACTCGGGTTTTAACCAATCACAGTGAAGGTCAAACTGTCCCTATGCTTTCTACCACTACCTTCTTAAAATGAATAGAGTATAATCATGAAATGTACTAACTCTGTCAATTTTCAAAATTTCAATCAAAGGTATACCTAACTTGATTTTTTTAAATGGAACTACCAAATTTTTTTTATTGCATGGAATGTAGGATTTTATTACCTTTCCAACGATATGAAAATGTCGGTATGTATCTCTCACCTTCAAGAATTTCTAATAATTCACTGTTTTTCGATTTTCAAGGTCTCTCAGTAATCACTAGGCCGTTAACAATTAAGAACACCAATTCAAATGATAAAACATTTATCCCCAACAGAACAAAACAAAAACTCTTGTTTGTCGTAGTCCATTTTAAAAGATAAAATAATGAATTTTGCATTTAAACCATGCGTTAAATTAAATAAATCAATTTGAATAGTGAGCCACGAAAGCCATATTGTAAAATATTAAAACAAAATAAAATGAATTGACATCTGTCAGTTTAGTTCATTGGCATTTACAATTCTGTTGTTGATTAGTTAAGTTAATTTGTTAGAAAAACGGAATTTGAATAACATATTTTAAACGGTGCTCTTTATTATGAACGAAATGTTCTGGTGCACATTGTAGGATATGGTTTCAGCACGATGGTGCTCTATCCCATTTTGATATAAACGTTAAAGAATGGCTGAATCAACAATTCCCTGGGAGGTGGATAGGTCGACGAGTCCCTATAAATTGACCAGCGGCCAGTGCGGTCTCCATACCTTCACCAATGGACTTTTCTCATGGGGATAAATGCAAGGAACTGTATGCAAAGGAATCCCAACAAAAGAGCATTCATAATGCTTTCGCATTCCTGTACTTCGTCGTGTCAAAGAATTTCTAAACCCATTGCTTTTCTTTTATTTTTATTTAAACTGTTTATTTTGATTTTTTTTAGTTTTTGTTTTGTTTTTTTTGGAGTTAATTTTTTATAAATTCAATTGTTTTTAATTTTTAACGGCCTACTGATTACTGAGAGGCTCTGAAAATCGAAAAACACTGAATTATTACAAATTGTTGAATTAGAAAAAATAGAAAAAACCCATTGATTTTCTTTTATTTTTATTTAAACTGTTTATTTTGATTTTTTTGGAGTGAATTTTTTATAAATTCAATTGTTTTTAATTTTTAACGGCCTACTAATTACTAAGAGGCTTTGAAAATCGAAAAACACTGTGAATTATTAGAAATGGTTGAATTACAAAAAATAGGTAAGAGATACGTACCGACATGCTTATATCGTTAGAAAGGTAATAAAATCCTACATTTCATGCAATAAGAAATTTGGTAGTTCCATTTAAAAAAAAAACAAGTTACCTTTGATTGAAATTTTGAAAATTGATGGAGTGATTTCTTTTAACACAAAAGAAGTTTTAACTTTAGCCGTTCGGCGTATGTTAGTACATTTTGTGATTAGTGCCACTGCAAAGTCATGGCCTTCTAAATTTTATGATAACCGCGTTATTCAATTTTTATTGGACATCTATGTAATAATATACAGTGAGCTTCATTTAAAAAAATGCAACTTTGATATAAATCACCCTGTACGATAATTGCAATTTCCTTGAAAATATTTTTAAGTTTTTAAGGGTCCATCAACATTCCCTCACTGAATTTTAAATATGCGCGTTAATAAACCCACAATCGTCTACCCACTCACTAACGGCCCACCCTGTATTCAGAAATAATGTTTTATGCATTTTGGCAAAAAGGGGTAGTTTACACCCTTAAAAAATGAAGAGCGCCTATCGATAGATTTTGAAGTGGAGGGTAAGTTGAACTTAATTCCCAATTTTCATGCATTTTGAAAAAATTGCCCGGTTTTAAGTTTCGTTTTATAGCTAATTATTCCTTTTCAGATATCCATAGCGCCTTGGTTATGCCCGGTCCGGATCTGGTGATTTGCGATGAAGGGCATCGCATTAAAAATTCCCACGCGTCCATTTCTCAAGCTTTAAAACAAATGCGTACTAAACGGCGCGTTGTACTAACCGGATACCCGCTCCAGAACAACCTGATGGAGTATTGGTGCATGGTTGATTTCGTCAGACCGAATTATTTGGGTAGTAAAACGGAGTTCTGCAACATGTTCGAGCGCCCCATTCAAAATGGGCAGTGTATCGATTCCACCGAGGCCGACATTAAACTAATGCGGTACCGCGCGCATGTGCTGCATTCGCTTTTGGTCGGATTCGTGCAGAGACGATCACATGAGGTGTTACAAACTGCTCTTCCACAGAAAGAGGAGTACGTCTTACTGCTTCGAATGTCTTCGTTTCAACGTAAGCTTTACAATACTTTTATGAACGAGGTTGTGAGAGTGCAAGCTGTCCCCAATCCGTTGAAAGCTTTCGCGGTCTGCTGTAAAATTTGGAACCACCCGGACGTCCTGTATCACTTCTTGAAGAAGCGCGCCGGTGGCGAGGCCGTCGACATCGATCTGGAGGAAGTTTCCAGTAATTCCACGACCGACAGTTCGGGAAAATTGAAAAAACACACCAGAAAGGCGGCTACCCCCAAGGGCAGGAAAGGCACAAAACCCGCCGCCTCGGTCACTCCCTACAATTCCGCCTCCATCTCGGATTCGGACGCGAACCAATCTAAACCCTTCCCCTCGGTCGGACAAAATTCGAACTCCTTAGATGCCCCGTTTTCTCCCTCCTCCGACATGATGGACAACAGCTTTAACACACAAAACTTCAACAAACAATTGAAACCCACGTGTTTCCCGCAAGCCGCGACTTCCTTCGCCGAAAATCGGAAACTATTCTCCCAATCTTCGAGCTTCATTCAGGGCGACGAAAAGTTCTCCCAAAACGCCAACACATTCCCGCAGCAAAACTTCTGGCGATCGAAAGACAACGGCGAACCGTACGAGAATTTTAAACGGTCCTTTCCTCAGTCAAACGACATGATCTGCGACAACGCACAAATGCCCCAGTGGATTAAAAAGGAGGAGGACAGCAAATCGAATTTGATCAGTTCGATAAAGGCGGAAGATAGTAAACCAAAAATTAACATAATAAGCGACATCAAAATAGGCGGTTCATTTTCGAATCAACTAGGCAAACCTTTGGATCATAAGAAAATCAATATCATAAGCGATATTAAGCTCGATGTTAAAAAGGAGGAGTCGAACGATGAGAAATTGGTACCCAGATTTCCGTTCGACATTAAAAGTGAGGTTAAGTCATCCCTTCATAACTTCAGTTTTCCACCGCGAACTGAGACTCGTACCGATGACGACGATGTTAAAATTATTTCCGATATGCCTCCGCCGGCGAGGGTGAAGGAGGATGCTCAGGATGGAATACCGTATGATTGGGTAAGTATCTTTTGGTTATTACACGGGTCTAACCAATCAATTGATTTAGATTACAACTTCCAGAATTAAAAAATGTTTTTTTTTTTCATAAAATTGTTCATAGTTTCAGAGGTATTTGAGCATGGAATGCTCGGGAAAAGTTTGGGAAGGATCAGAGAGGGTTTACAAATCTCTGGAAATGGCCTAAGACGTTCACTTAATTTTCTACTAATTTTCTAATTAATTTTTTACTTAATTTTTACTTGATTTTCACTTAATTTTTACTGAATTTTTTACTTAGGTAATTAAAAATCAATTTTTAATTTGTACTTAATTTTTGCCGATGCGAAAATGGTCAAAAATCACTTTTTTAGGTTTTTCTAAAATAACTAATTTGATATTTTATTTGTGCCTCTGGCATCTCTAACTTAGGAAATCCATCAATTAAAAGTTTCGTGTTTTTATCAATTCCCAACAAAATACTAAATATACTAAATGACAAGAAAGAATTTTGCCTTGCTGCACTTATCACAGCGTGTGACAAAGAGGTACATATATTGCTATATTTGCTCAGTTAGGGGATACTGAAGTATCATATACAGTTGAGATTGTATATCAGCCAATAAGAACATTCCTTATCGCCTTGCATAAGTTGAAACTTAATTAGTTTCAAGATAAGCACGTGTTATCGCTGATAAGAAAACCACAGGTGCACAGTTTATTTCGAAGCTGGCATTATTCAAATTTGTTTTTGATTGGCTGTTGAATACAGTTTTTTCTGGAGTAGCTATCAACAGTGAAAGCAATATCAAAGTATTTATATAGACCATGTTATTTTTAGGCAATCGAACTGTTACGCGATTATGTTCCTGGCTGCATAGAAAACTCTGGAAAGATGGAAGTGCTATTCTGTATAATAACGGAAAGTATCGCCTTAGGAGACCGGCTGTTACTATTTAGTCAATCGTTAATCACTTTAGATCTAGTAGAACAATTCCTTCAAACGAACGAAGTTCCTGGTGAGACGGAGAAATGGTGTAAAAACGTTAATTATTACCGTGAGTAGAAAAAAACAGAACCGTGGCAAACTACTTTCAATTTTTCTTAGGCCTAGATGGATCGACGAGTGCGTTGGAAAGGGAGAAATTAATAAACGAATTTAATTCTAATCCAAAAATCCATTTGTTTCTCGTTTCGACAAGAGCTGGCTCTTTGGGTATTAACTTGGTCGGTGCAAATCGGGTTGTCGTGCTGGATGCCTCGTGGAATCCCTGCCATGATACGCAAGCCGTTTGCAGGGTGTATCGTTACGGGCAAAGGAAACCTTGTTTCGTCTACAGGCTGGTTATGGATCACTGCCTCGAGAAGAAGATTTACGACAGGCAGATCAATAAGCAGGGTAATTTGATTTTTTTATAGATGACGTCCGCCATCTTCAATATGGCGGACGAGTCTATTCAATTATTCTTTAAAAAAAATCTAAAGTGAGAGTTTTATGTAGGAATGTCTGATCGCGTGGTCGACGAGTGTAATCCGGATGCGCACTTAACAATGAAAGATGTCAGCACTTTATGTTTCGATGATTCTGAAGAGGGAGAAGAAAAAGACTGGTCACATGTGAAAGATCGTTACATAGACATCGTGCTTCAAAAAGTGTTGGAGCTTTACGGGAATCGTTTAAATAAGCCGCCTTTCCAGCACGAATCTCTACTGGTGGATAGAAAAGATAAGCAATTATCTCAACAAGAAAAACGGTTCGCCAAAAAAAGTTACGAACGCGAGAAGCAGGCGGCTCGACAACCTGCATACGGAATGGCGGCTGCTGGCAGAAGTCACCGGCCGATTGCGTCAGTGCGACCCATGCAGCAAGGCGGGGAAAGGTCTACCAGATGGATTCCGGCCGAACACTGGCAAAGGCAAGGGATGACGGCGCAAGAAATGACGTTGCCCCTTGATGTGGTCATCCCTACCAATCAACCGGATAAGAGCAACATAGTATTAAAGGCGGGTCAAAAAGGTTCTCGTACTAAAATCTCCCAAAGGGGTTTACATGCAACTGGAAAATGGCAAAATCGTAGCGATTAAAACTGCTATTAAAGTAAGGGGGAAAGCGGAGGACGAAGTCGAAAAAGCAATGAAGCCCACTTTCCCGCCAATTCTAAAGCCGCCGCCCGGATTGCCGTTAATGCCGCCGAAACGTATGGTACGACCCTTCAGTCCCGGCGTGGCTAAGCTCAACATGAGAAGCGTTCGTCAGGCCGTACCGAACCTTGTAAACCGTATGCAGACGGCGTCCCGAAAAATCCAAATGGCTAAAACGCGTCCCTACCAAATGGGAGAAGAATTAGCTCAAACTGCCAACCAACTAAAACTGGAGGAGAAACTTTTACTCGGTAGAAACGAAGAGTTACCTCGCGCGAAAAGCGGCCCCAGAAATAACGCCTTATCTCAGGAAATCGCTCAAAGGTTGCTGAGCGAGGAGATAACAATGGAAAGGTACTCTCCTAAGGCGGAGAAGAAATATCAATCGAGAAACGAACCACCTAGTAATTCATCGAACGCCGAGTTGCAGAAGCTGAGGAGTAGATCGCCCAGTTCGACGATACAGCAGTTAGAACAATCGACGTCCGCTATTATTTCACAAACCTCCAAACGTATACACGTAAGTAAATAACGAAATTAATGGGAAGTTCAAATTGGTAGTCAGGTCTACTGATTATTTAAATTTGATAATTTGAGTATTAAGAATAAAGTTTTTGATTTGCATTCTGTCTTTTGGCAAATAAACGTCATTAAACAAACTTGTTAGTTGATAGGATTGGCTGTTTATTTTGCCATTTGTTCATTTGTCTGTATTATTGTATCCATTCCAATCCATTCAATTTGTACACAAAAGCGCCCCTAGCGGGTAGTTGTGGAGTTATTTAATTAACTGTGTTTTAGGAGGTATAGTAAAACCGACCTATAAATTGCACATTTGACGGCATATATTTAATTTCTAACAAAAAACCAGACCTTTTTTGATCTTTCGCTTTATGTTTTTCTTCTAACGGTAGTCGTGAGTATAATAGTGGATCTTATTAATTTTAGGACATCAATGATATCACTAATTCATTTCAAGAGGATGAAAAACTTCAATCCTCATCAGAAACGTCCAGTTTGGCACCTATAGATTCCGATCACTTACAAGATCTCGATACGACTGATGAAGTTGAAGACTTAGACTCTCATTATTCCGAGGAACCATCCAATCACGCTCCCACAACTTCAACATCCGCGGATTTACCGATACCACCGGAATCGATCAAAACCGACATTCCCAATCAAGATTACAATTACAACGGGTACTACGGCTACAACATGCAACCGTACCCACCTCCTCCTCCGCCACAAGGCTATCCCAATTACCCTCCCCAACCGGCTCCCTACGACTACAACTATCCTCCCCCTCCTCCGTCCCAGCAGCCGCAGTATAGCTATCCCATGTACCCCTCCGTCTATCCTCCCCAACCGCAATATCCGCCACCGCCGCAGGCGCCGCCGTACGACTACGGACCGCCTCCTCAACAACCTCCGCCGCCAATGTATAGTGGATACCATTCGCCGTATCCGCAGCAGTACCCGCAACCGCCGGCGCCGCCCCCCAACAATCCGTATACGCCGGTCCAACAGCAGCCTCCTACATATCCAGAATATCAATACAACACCGCCGCCCCGCAACAAAATCCCCAAAATGCGGCACCTTATTTTCCTAATTCTTAATTTAGTGATTTTATTTATTTTTACCGTCAAGTGTTTGGCAAACATTTATCAATCATCGGGCAGGTTCACCCTGTGCACGTGTTGTAAATAACACTCTGTTTATGTTTTAAAGTATCGAGCAGACGTGTAGGTGGTAATAAATGTACGAATTAAGCAAACTTAATGGAAATTTTCTTGAGTGTAATAGGTATAGATGACTGTTGTATGTACTGTACACAATTAGAATGTGTATCACGTTTCCTTTATACTTGTCGAAGTAAGTATTGCAATTCGTTTCAGCTAAACTCTGTACCGATCTTTCTATGAATTGTATAATTGTAATTATTTGAATTTTTTTATGAATATTTTAATTAGAAGTTTTAGTGGCAATTTATATTGTAATTATGGACTCATTTATATTAAATTATACTCATATTAATAGTGAACTTTTTTTAAATGGCATCTGTATTTTGTTGTACGGCGACGTTTAAGGTCTGCCTAGGATAATTGCCTGCCTCACGATACCTACCAGACCACAATTGCATGAGAAATCTAGGTGAAATAAAACGCGACGGCACCATTTAAGCCCCTGGTGAAGTCTCAAACTAAAAAGCGACGGTTGCGCCTTTTAAGCTCCTGGTGGAATCTCGACGAACTAAAAAGCGACGGTGGCGCCATTTAAGCCCCTGGTGGAAACTCGACGAACTAAAAAGCGACGGTGGCGCCATTTAAGACCCTGGTGGAAACTCGACGAACTAAAAAAGCGACGGTGGCGCCATTTAAGCTCCTGGTGGAAACTCGACGAACTAAAAAGCGACGGTGGCGCCATTTAAGCTCCTGGTGGAAACTCGACGAACTAAAAAGCGACGGTGGCGCCATTTAAGCTCCTGGTGGAAACTCGACGAACTAAAAAGCGACGGTGGCGCCATTTAAGCCCCTGGTGGAAACTCGACGAACTAAAAAGCGACGGTGGCGCCATTTAAGCCCCTGGTGGAAACTCGACGAACTAAAAAGCGACGGTGGCGCCATTTAAGCTCCTGGTGAAAACTCGACGAACTAAAAAGCGACGGTGGCGCCATTTAAGCTCCTGGTGGAAACTCGACGAACTAAAAAGCGACGGTGGCGCCATTGAAGCCCCTGGTGGAAACTCGACGAACTAAAAAGCGACGGTGGCGCCATTTAAGCTCCTGGTGAAAACTCGACGAACTAAAAAGCGACGGTGGCGCCATTTAAGCTCCTGGTGGAATCTCGACGAACTAAAAAGCGACGGTGGCGCCATTTAAGCTCCTGGTGGAAACTCGACGAACTAAAAAGCGACGGTGGCGCCATTTAAGCTCCTGGTGGAAAATCGACGAACTAAAAAGCGACGGTGGCGCCATTTAAGCTCCTGGTGGAAAATCGACGAACTAAAAAGCGACGGTGGCGCCATTTAAGCTCCTGGTGGAATCTCGACGAACTAAAAAGCGACGGTGGCGCCATTTAAGCCCCTGGTGGAAACTCGGCGAACTAAAAAGCGACGGTGGCGCCATTTAAGCTCCTGGTGAAAACTCGACGAACTAAAAAGCGACGGTGGCGCCATTTAAGCCCCTGGTGGAATCTCGACGAACTAAAAAGCGACGGTGGCGCCATTTAAGCCCCTGGTGGAAACTCGACGAACTAAAAAGCGACGGTGGCGCCATTTAAGCCCCTGGTGGAAACTCGACGAACTAAAAAGCGACGGTGGCGCCATTTAAGCTCCTGGTGAAAACTCGACGAACAAAAAACCGACGTGGCGCCATTTAAGCCCCTGGTGGAAAGTCGACGAACTAAAAAGCGACGGTGGCGCCATTTAAGCTCCTGGTGGAAAATCGACGAACTAAAAAGCGACGGTGGCGCCATTTAAGCTCCTGGTGGAAACTCGACGAACTAAAAAGCGACGGTGGCGCCATTTAAGCCCCTGGTGGAAACTCGACGAACTAAAAAGCGACGGTGGCGCCATTTAAGCCCCTGGTGGAAACTCGACGAACTAAAAAGCGACGGTGGCGCCATTTAAGCTCCTGGTGGAAACTCGACGAACTAAAAAGCGACGGTGGCGCCATTTAAGCTCCTGGTGGAAACTCGACGAACTAAAAAGCGACGGTGGCGCCATTTAAGCTCCTGGTGGAAAACTCGACGAACTAAAAAGCGACGGTGGCGCCATTTAAGCTCCTGGTGAAAACTCGACGAACTAAAAAGCGACGGTGGCGCCATTTAAGCCCCTGGTGGAAACTCGACGAACTAAAAAGCGACGGTGGCGCCATTTAAGCCCCTGGTGGAAACTCGACGAACTAAAAAGCGACGGTGGCGCCATTTAAGCCCTGGTGGAAACTCGACGAACTAAAAAGCGACGGTGGCGCCATTTAAGCCCCTGGTGGAAACTCGACGAACTAAAAAGCGACGGTGGCGCAATTTAAGACCCTGGTGAAATCTGAATAAACTAAAAAGCGACGGTGGCGACATTTAAGCCTCTGGTGAAATCTCGATGAACTAAAATTTCTCGGGAAAACACTTTTTCTTATTAATTTTGGTGCGTAGAATCCTAATCAATTCGTATTTTTTCGATTAGATTTCTCAATCAAAAGTTTTAGACCAATTTCGAAAGAAAATTCAAAGGGCTGTAACTTTTGAACTAGTAGCCCAATCTTGGAACTGTTTGAAATTATGGATTCTACAGGCCTTTTCCTTAAAGGGCAGCTGAAAATGTGCAATTTCATGTAGGATTTGTCGAGCAAATGTACTTCAATGATCCAGTATCTGGAATTGTCTTTTGTGTATTCAATTGGTACATTTGCGCCATCTCTATGGCAATCCCTATACTTTTCCAAGTTTAATTCTTGTAATAGGTGAACCAGTTCCAATGAAATGTCGCCACGTACTACACTAACTTCACAAAAACATTTTAATTTATGCACTTAATAGCCACGTCCGACTCAATTTTCCTTAAAGGGCAGTTGAAAATGTGCAATTTCATGTAGGATTCGTAGAGCAACTGTGCTTCAATAATCGACTACTCCAAAATTTCTCGGGAAAACACTTTTTCTTATTAATTTTGGTGCGTAGTATCCTAATCAATTCGTACTTTTTCGATTAGACTTCTCAATCAATAGTTATAGACCAATTTCGAAAGAAAATTCAAAGGACTGTAACTTTTGAACCAATAGCCCAATCTGGGAACTGTTTGAAATTATGGATTCTACAGGCCACAATCTATAAGAAAATTTTCCGGGTCGATCTGGGACAATTTTTTCTTCTTGCCTCAAAAAAAGGCAGTGTACAACCTTCCCTTTTTATCAAAAATCGACTGCACCAAAATTTCTCGGGAAATTATGGAAAAAGTACGAATCGTTTTGGATTGTGCGCAGCAAAATTTATAAGTAAAAGTGTTTTCCCGACAAATTTTGGAGTAGTCGATTTTCGGTAAAAAACTTGGTTTTCTTTTGGGGCCGAAAAGAAGAATTTTCTGCAATCGACCTGAAAACATTTTCCTATATATTTTGGCCTGTAGATTCCACAATTTCAAACAGTTCCAAAATCGGACTACTAGATCAAAAGTTACAGCTCTTTGAATTTTTTTGCGAAATTGGTTTTTTGCCCATAACTTTTGAATGAAACGATTTACTACTTGATGTAATTATCTTCTTTAGTACTTACCTTGATACTGTAACGGCAGTTACAATTGTAGAAAATGATGAAATATTTCTTCCAATTTTCTTCGTTTTCTTCTTCTGTTGTAGTACGTTAGGAGCTACCTTTCGTACTTTACTATCCGAGCTGGCTCAGGTAAAGGTTAAAACGAGTAAAGAATTCAACTGTTTTTTTTGTTTCACTATTAACTTCATTAATAAACAAAACTTCTTAATTAAAGATTTGAAAAAAAAACTCAAACTTAATGGAATATTCACAATCTAATATCTTAGTATGTTTGGAAATGTTGTGTCTTTCACATTGGCGTGTCTTTGAATAGTAACAGGAAAAACGTTAATCAGTCTTCCTTTGCTGGGAAGTATTGCCTGGAGGTATTCCATTCCCACCAAAACACCCGGAATTACGATCTTCCCACACACGTATAGTATTAGCAATAACACGATAAATTTTCAGAAAAAATCATCGAAATTAGCACCATGATCTTGTGGAAAATGGAACGTTTCTTAGAAAAGGAAGTATGCGAATGTTCTTCCAGAAAATTAATACTAGTGTGTGGCACCGTGGGTCTGGGGGATGGGACGTAAGGGGGGTAGAAGTTAATTTTATCTTTCATGGTATTCTAATTAAAGTTCTCAACGAAAGGAACTGTTTTCTACCATCTACCGCCCTTCTTTCTGACCCCTTCTCTATGGACTTCATTCTTCTCGCATTATATAGCGGAGGTTTTCCGACGATTCAGGCCAAAGAACGTGCGCGGTCTACCCTGACCTCATTCGCCCTCGTCCTTTCAGCTTATTAGCCAGAGTATGCATGGCAGGTGGCTTATCCACCTGGCCTGGGCGCGCGGAAGATCCTCAGTTCATGTTAACCCGACAATGAAATGTGAGCTACTGGGTAGAATGCGTAGAATGGGTGCCAGTCAGGGGCGTTCTTGTCCTTTTCGTCCCGCTGAAGGATCCTGTTGAGTTGGGGTGAGTTACCAGATGTTAAAACTGGCGTTCATAAATATGTCAAAAATCGTTGATTACGTTACGTGTTAATGGCATCGATGCATAATAAAGGATGCCACCTTCTCCGGAAGAACAACATTAAAATGAAACATACCTACCTAACCTTCGCCGTCCCCTTCTTCGTCGACAGCTGCGAGAGTGTAGCTACCGAACAACTCGGAGGGGATCTGCGGAGGACTGACCGACTAATAACTGAATGGAAGAGAATAATGAATATAAACAGCAGCAGTTTGTGCTGTTATTTCGCTACAAACGGTTCTTTATTTTGGTGCGAAACTGTGCCTTTCCCATTACCTAATGACTCGTAAAATACGAACTGATCTAATTAAAAAAGATGGTTCGTACTTTGGTACATTGGACTAAAAGTTTAAGTTTTCCTACACGAATTTCAATAAATAAAAATTCAAGGGAAAATGTGAATACAGTTAGTCCTGCAGTGACTCCCACCGTTAGCAGCAATTCTTTGTATCCATCTTGTTTAAAAAATAAGGAAATTAACATGAGCCACAGTAATTTATTAATCATGGACGTTGAGCAAGTAAGTTTTTTTCCATTTTGAACTTTTTCAATCCAAATTTACTGAAGATTGATCTCAAATTTTGAAAGGTGATAATCCGAAGGTTTCGGCAGGTGCGGTGACGAAATTGTTCTTTGATTGGTGCTTACTCACCTACCTGCTCACTCAATAAATAAATTATTGTTGATAATTAGACGTGTAATTCTGATTCTCACCCGAGGACCTCATTTAACTACTTCCTGCCAGTTCCTTATTAAGTATTACTATCGGAAGAAGTCCCGTTAGCTAATTTCAAAAATGGGCGTATTTTAAAATAGCAAAAAACCAGAATTTAACGTCATTCGTCGCGAAATTCTTGAATTTATTTTGTACCGGATGTTAGTGACGCGCGCTTTAAGAAATGTTGACTTGGAGTATGTGCACCTACTTAATCGCCAAGTCTTTTAGGGGGAAATAAAACGTTAACGTTACCTAATCGCCGAACAAACTTTCATCTTCTTCATTTGTAATGGTGACGTAAATTCTATTTTATTGCAGATTTACCCAGATCCCGACTCTGAAAAGTCTATCATGAAATCCGTTGTTTATTGCATTCATAATAAGGAGGGGTGTAAATGGTCAGATGAACTACGAAAATTAAAGGTTAGTGAAAAAAACATGATTAAGTGTTATTTTTAATGCTTTTTTGGAATTAGGCACATTTAAACACATGCAAGCACGACGCAAAGCCATGTACCAGCAATTGTGGGGCGCAAATACCAAGGGTGCTTATGGAAGACCATTTGAAATATACATGTCCTCATAGGAGAGCCAGGTGCGAGTTTTGTACAAAGGACTTTACGGGGGAGTCATTGGAAGTAAGTATATCTATTTTAATATTAAATTATACCAATATATGTAGGTAACTTTTCTGGTTTGTAATTACCAACAAATGGTTGTAATAAACATAAACATGTTTATTAAATGTTTTGGTTTGGGAACTACCCTAAACAAATTCAGCATAATTGAATTTTGTTTAATTTGAGAGCCATCAGACTATCCAGAAAAGTGGCACATCTGGATTAGGAACACCCTTCTCGATTTTGTAGTAAAAAATTCCGAAACCTTTACCCTAAGATGAGCGGGAGTGAGAACAAAAATTTGGTATTTTGTGGTTATTAAACATAAATATTCGGAATAATTTTTTTTAAGTGAACAAACTCATACGTCCTTATCTTTTTTAAATAAATTTATGGGTTCTAATAACAGGGTAGGAACTAGAGGGTGCGGAATACTTTCCAGTATACGAGGTTTCAATTATCCTTTCCCAAATACTACCCGGAAAGTTTTAGGGGTGATAGAAAAAAAGTTAACCAGTACTCTTTGGCTGGGGAGTATTGCTGAATACCCCCCCCCAAATCCCCCGGTACTACGTTCTTCCTACAAACGTTTAATGGAGAAAAGACAATCGAATTGATCTTGTGGAAAATGGAACATGTCGTAGAAAAGGAAGGTTTTAATGTCCTTTCCGAAAACGATCACAAGCATCTTTAAGGGGAGAAAGTAGCACCGGGGAGTGGGGGTGATATAATACCCTCAAGTATATGAAGGTTCAGTTATCTTTTCTCCAGGGAAAAAAGTAACCAGTCCTCTTGGATTAGGAAGTATTGCTGAGGTAATACGTGAGTAAAGCCAATCGCACTTAGTACCACAATCGTGTGGAAAATGGTTTAGAAAATGAAGATTCAAATGCCCTTCCCGAAAACTATCAGGAGCATCTTCAAGAACAGACACTGTTGTGGGAAAAAGTAGCACCGGGGGGTCTGGGGGGTATGGAATACCCCCCAGGAAACAAAGGTTGAATTACGTTTTCCAAAATGCCACGACGAGCGTGTTAGGGGTGACAGAAAAAAAGTTAACCAGCCTTTTTCGGCTTTGAAGTATTCCTGGGGGGTATTCCATACCCCCCAACCCCCCGGTAATACGTGAGTAACGCCAATTGCACTTAGTAACACAATCGTGTGGAAAATGGTTTAGAAAAGGAAGATTCAAATGCCCTTCCCGAAAACTATCAGGAGCATCTTTAAGGACGAACACTATTGTGGGAAAAACTAGCACCGGGGGGTCTGGGGGGTATGGAATACCCCCCAGGAAACGAAGATTGAATTACCTCTTCCAAAATGCCACAACGAGCGTGTTAGGGGTGACAGAAAAAAAGTTAACCAGTCCTTTTCGGCTTTGAAGTATTCCTGGGGGGTATTCTATACCCCCCAGACCCCCCGGTAATACGTGAGTAACGCCAATTGCACTTAGTAATACAATCGTGTGGAAAATGGTTTAGAAAAGGAAGATTCAAATGCTCTTCCCGAAAACTATCAGGAGCATCTTTAAGGACGAACACTGTTGTGGGAAAAACTAGCACCGGGGGGTCTGGGGGGTATGGAATACCCCCCAGGAAACAAAGGTTGAATTACGTTTTCCAAAATGCCACGACGAGCGTGTTAGGGGTGACAGACAAAAAGTTAACCAGTCTTTTTCGGCTTTGAAGTATTCCTGGGGGGTATTCCATACCCCCCAGACCCCCCGGTAATACGTGAGTAACGCCAATTGCACTTAGTAATACAATCGTGTGGAAAATGGTTTAGAAAAGGAAGATTCAAATGCTCTTCCCGAAAACTATCAGGAGCATCTTTAAGGACGAACACTATTGTGGGAAAAACTAGCACCGGGGGGTCTGGGGGGTATGGAATACCCCCCAGGAAACGAAGATTGAATTACCTTTTCCAAAATGCCACAACGAGCGTGTTAGGGGTGATAGAAAAAAAGTTCACCAGTCCTTTTCGGCTTTGAAGTATTCCTGGGGGGTATTCCATACCCCCAGACCCCCCGGTAATACGTGAGTAAAGCCAATCGCACTTAGTACCACAATCTTGTTGAAAATGGTTTAGAAAAGGAAGATTCGAGTGCCCTTCCCGGAATCTAACAGGAGCATTATTAAAGACGAACACTGTTGTGGGAAAAAGTAGCTGGGGGGTATGGAATACCCCCCAGGGTACGAAAGTCGAATTAGCTTTTCCGAAAAACCACCACCAGCGTGTTAGCTGTAATAGAAAATCAGTTAACCAGCCCTCTTCGGTTTTGAAGTTATTCTGGGAGGTATTCCATACCCCCAGACCACCCGGTAATACGTGAGTAAAGCCAATCGCATTTAGTACCACAATCTTGTGGAAAGTGGTTTAGAAAGGGTACGAGATACAGGTAGTATTGGTGGGGGTATAGAATACCAGGATATATATTCTATGTCACTAAACCCCACAGTCTGTTCATCATGAAAATGTATGAGGAGTAATAGGAAAAAAGTTGACCATTTCTCCATGACTGGACGGTATTGCTGCAGGGTATTCCATACCCCGCAAACACCCTGGTAGTACGTTCTTCCCGCAAACGTTTACTCAATAATTTTGGAGAAAAAAATGGAACATTTCTTATAAGAGGAAGATTTCGAATGTCCTTCCTGAAAACTATCACGAGTGAGTTTAGGGACGAACGCTGTTGAGGGAGAAACTAACATCGAGGGGGGGGGGCTGGGCCACTCCCAAGAGTATAATATTCGTCAGGAAAGAAAGATTCGATGGCCTTCTATTGAAGTATGACGGGAGTTCTCAAGGTATAACGTCTTGTGTGTATGAGTATACAAATGATACTTACTCGTGGTGGCGGGAGGGGAAGGATTCCATATTCCCCAGACTCCTCGGTTCTGTTTTTACCCAAAGATTTCATTCTTATGGGTAGGGATCCCTTATTGAGACTATTCGAGCGGTATTTTCTTCTTCATCCTAGTTGGATCATCAGACGTGTGTACGAAATCGGTTTAAACAACTTCAGTGGGGAAAATTTCAAGCTTTCTGTAATGACCTCCATCTCCAACCTGTTGGGCTCTTCAGTACCCCACTGACGTCCACAACTATTGACCGCGCTGACTTTTTCATGAATATGAAAATTAGATACCTTTCAATGTGGAGCTGATACCTGATAATCTTAGCTATGACTGGGTCTCTGGGTTTGTTGCTCCTTCATAATTGACAGATGCAGTTCTTTGCGTAATGGGTCAAGTCTTTTTTGTGTACAATTTGAGTAACTACCACTGTATGATGTAATAATGATTTTATTTTCAGAATCATATCGGCAATTGTGGCCATGAACCGGTATATTGTGAAAATAAATGCGGGTTAAAAGTACAACGCCGAATTTTAAGCCAACACAAAACCTCCGATTGCTTCAAGCGGCTTGTAGCTTGTCGCTACTGCAAAAAGGACTTTATAGCCGACACCATGGCGGCGCATCACATTAAATGCGGGAGTGTTCCAGTTGGTTGTCCCAATAGATGCGAAACGACAAATTTAACACGTGAAGACATGGAGCTGCATTTGAAAGAAGAATGTACCATCTCCGTGCTGAGTTGCTCGTTTAAAGAAGCCGGATGTCGCTTTAAGGTACCTAGTATGGTTAATTATATCCTACTGATCTTGTTCTTCAGGGTCCCAGGTTTTCAATAGATAAACACTTAGAAGAGAGTTCGTCACAGCACCTTTCCCTAGTGTGTAATCTGGTAAACAAGCAGCAACACCAAATAGCGTCGCTCAAAAGTGCACTGTCGCGCCTTTCCCTAAATTATTCTGGAACGTTGATTTGGAAAGTGAGCGACTTCTCAGCAAAAATGAGCGAGGCCAAAACGAAGGAAGGCATGGAGTTAGTATCACCGCCCTTTTACACTAGTCAATACGGATACAAGTTACAAGCGTCCTTGTTTCCGAACGGAAACGGAGCGGGAGAAAACAGTCACATATCAATCTACATCAAAATACTGCCAGGCGAATACGACGCCCTGCTCCGTTGGCCTTTCGCCCATTCCGTCTCCTTCACCCTGTTCGACCAGTCGATGTGCCCCGAGAAGGCGTGCAACATCATGGAAAGCTTCATTCCCGATCCGACGTGGAAAAACTTCCAAAGGCCCAGCATAGAGCCGGACTCCTTGGGCTTCGGCTTTCCCCGCTTCGTATCGCACGACATTCTCAAGAAGAGAAACTTCGTCAGGGACGACACTCTTTTTATACGAGTTAAAGTTGACCCTAGCAAAATAATTGCCGTGTAGGATCTCAAGAAAATATGCGTTCATCCGGGCGAAGCGGACGCGATGGACGAACCGCATAATGTTATTCCATAAATCAAAATGTAAATACGTTCACTAGAACGAAGCCGCTGACCGCAATTACGTTTAATTAAAGTGTGGCGAGGCGAGTCCTGATCAGCCTGAATTGTTATGATGATTTTGGTCCAAGCGAACATTACGCCCTATTCGTTTGGATGAACGCATATTCTTTTTTAACCAAGACTGTTTTTGATTTTGTAAATATAAACCATTCTAATAGGGGATCCACGATTTTTGGGGAAGTTCGTGTAGTGGCTATGACTTTGTGAACTAGGCAGAATTAGTCCATACTAAATTTTACAGTTCGAACAAGAAGTGCTCAATATGATAACTTTAGTACCTGGGTCTAGAACATTGTACGGACACAAGACCTAGTTTACAAAGTGTAGTAGGTACCTGTAATTGTAAAGTCGCTGCAGTTTAATTTTCCCTACAAGTTTGTAACAATCTTAGATAAGTTTTAATGTTGTAGGTAAGTTGTGATAGCTGAAGTAAACCAAAGTTATATTAGGAGTTAGTGTTTTCTTTTTGCCCTTTTTGATGTCCCGCCTAATCTCTGACCTTCCTGACTGGTTTCTGGAGTGGCATTAGATCATTGAAGGTCTCTTGTCCTTGGCAAAGACAATATGAATAGGTACGGTAGGGCCAGCATCATATCCCACACAACACAGTCCTTTCACTGGACGTCCATATTTGATCCATTTTAGGTTACGACGTCCCATGTAGCAAAAGTGTACGTACAGTGGACGTCCGATGATTCCCTCTTATGGAATATTTCCATAAAATAATTACAATGTACGTCCAGTCTAATTATGGCGCGCACAAATTCGAGTACACATCAGCCCGGGCACGCAATGCGAAAACATTAGCATTTAATTAAAGTCTGGAATGTCAACACATCTAATTTGGAGGAGAAGGGTCTCTCATGAATGGGGATGTGAGCGATTATTAACAATACCATTTATTCCAAAAGTTAGTAATTACAAATTCATATGATCACCTCAACATCACACAGCTGATCTTCACTGGGGAGGGTAAACTTTGAAGGATCGACCAAGTTGCAATCGATCGGTTTTAAACATTTCGCCTCGCGACGCCTAAGCTGGATAAACGCCTCGCGCTGCGCCCACGACTTCAATTTGACGTCGGGCGCATACATGAAACCGTAAACTGTGCAAACCAGTCCTAACGTAACGCAAAAGAAGAAGCTGAGATTGGTTTCTATACGATCGGTTCGTTCGTCCTTCCTATCAAATCCGTACGATATCCAATTGGCGCTGATTTTCTCGATGATCTCGGAGGTTTTTTTGGGGTCCATCACTTCCTCTGCACACTTCGATGATGATGATGATGATGATGATGCTTGTCTTGGGAGTGATTTCAGTTTTTTTAGGCTTAGTTTGAAGATGCGCTGCACGTACGCCATTTTTATGGAAAGTGTCACTAATGACTTTTGACGTTTATGCAGTTCAGGTAACTAGATTGGCAACTAATCAATTAGAAATTGAGGAAACCACAAGGCTTTTTGAAGATTTAGTGCTGTCTGATGACAAATGAAAATTTACAATAATAAAAACGGAAACTGGCGGACAAAGAAATCGGTCAAGAGCATTTGGTCGCTTTGAAGAACGATAACAGTCATTTTTCTCTGAAAAACGTGAGTGTTTCACTGGGATTCTTCCCCAAACAGGTACCAATGGGTTCATAAGGGCTCTGCGTTTCCAAACCCAGCATTCTGAGACAATTTTCAAAACTTTTTCCGTGATACGCCCAAGTCTCGTTACATTATGTCGGGAAAATCAAAATTTTGGCAATCTGTTTTGAGATGCAGTGTTACTTTGTGCAAAAATTCCCAAACAATGTAATATAACCCAAATTCACAATTCCATTATTTGTGGAGATGTCGAATTGCGTTTTTTTTAAGAAAGAGGACGGAGGAGGGCGTGTAGTGTAAAGAATTTGAGCCATCTTTCCTCAGGAACCGTAAGACGCAGGTGACTGATATTTGTAACCTATACACTTGGATTCTATGCATCCGAGGAGCAATTTTCGTTCTCTCTTATCCTTACTAAATCGAGTGAGTAAAATCCCAAAAATAAGCTGCAGGATCATTTTCGACGTTGAGGGTACTTTTCTCAGCAACTGTTTTCAAAAACAATTTTTTCTCTCTATAAAACTGACTGGCTGTGCCATTTTGGGGGGCGGTTCAATCCACTTTTTGAATTAAAATGTTATCAACAACTTCCATATGTTTAAGAACTTACATCAGGTCAGACATCTTAGCTTACTTCTTATAACGAAATAAGCTGTTTCGAACCAACATACACAACGGGCGGAAAGTCCAAATTACTAAAATTTATAGTTGACAATTTTTTACCTATTACTGGAAACAGAATTAGAAAATTCAAAATCGTTAGCAAGTTATCATGTACACAGACGGACGGACGGACGGAAAAAATCATGGACGAAGTGGGTAGCTCGTTAATAATTCGGAGTAAATTGAATGTATGTACTTTATGCGAGTCGCTACAATTGTACGCCCCCCATTACACCCAAACTGCCCCAATAAAAAAAAACTGTAGAAAGCTTTGTCAAAAAAAGTGCAATTAATTACATTCCCTCTGCTTCAATTTTTTTTTATTGTACGTAATTAAATCTAAAGACGCGTGCATTCCGCGCAGTAAAGTTGGAGTACTTTGTTTTCCATTTAAAGTTGAGACAATAGGAAAAGCTTTCATGCAAGTACTACATTTTCTATTGTTGCTTTTCTGCGAGGTTGCATCGAGCTTTACGAAAGTTAAAAGCGCGCCCCCTCACAGTTTTGCATATTGTTAATCGCTTTAAATTCAGCGGTTAACTCTTCGGCCAATATTTTAGTGGCGGCGAGCTCGTAAACTTTCACATATTACTTCTCCAAGGGACTGATACTAAAATTTATCTATCACGGCCCGCCATTGAAACTGAAACTCGAGATATTGCCCTAATACACAAAATGAAGTGCTAAACTTTATCAGTTTGAAAAAGTTCGATCGGAATTAAAGTTGTGTTCTTTTATTTTAGAAGTAAAGCTTCTCCAACTTTTACTCCCCCTTTTTTTTTCGCAAATCGACACTTCGCTAAAGTTTTCATTAACTTTGTTACACCGAGAAAGAGCCACCGTTAAAGGTTAGGATAAAGATTTTATTGATTATTAAAATTATTAGTGTCACTTTTTTTGTTAGTTTTTTTTACATTTGTGATTTTAAAACATAAGAAAATAAATTAACAACATTTTTAGGACTACTAAACTTGTCATAATTTATATACAATAACCCTACATCCAAATTATCATTATTTCCCAGTAACGATGGATTTTCGACATATGTTAGTGGTTTTCTTTACACGGTTAGAGCGTCAGAAAATTTCGACAGCAAACGACTATAAAATTAACAACATGACAACAAAACGAAGCAAACTGCAGCAATCACTGTTAGGGGTGGGCATGTCCGCTGGATGCCGCCATGTTGCATTGCTTCTGGGTGTTCACCTGGAAGCAAAAAAAAATCGGTTAGTGCTGTGGCAATTGCTGTAAAAATGCAAAATTTAAACAATTCCAAACCATGGGTAAGTACCATTTTCTTCAACATTTGCCAAAAATCCCCAACAGTGGAAAATGAGTTAGTGCGCATGAATTAAACAGCTTTCCCAGAGGAGAAAGTAATTAGAGAGCGTTTTTCTGCCATGGGCATGGTACTGTAGGGCGGATGCAGTAATTCTGTAAAGCCACGTTTTGTGATTATGGTTTGAACATGGCGAGCCGTTTGTTCGCCAAGAGTTCGGTCGTTTTGCAAGCTTTCAATAGCGCTTCCATAAACCTCACCATTAAGCGTGGTTCCTTTTGCCATGTATTCAATCAGTAAGCCCCAAGAAATGGCCACCATCAACTTTCCAAGCGAAGGTATCACAAGTCTTTAATCCAAAATCTGAACGCATCTTGAATTTATAGGTAATCAATGATAGTTATACAGTGTGTCCAAAATAAGGACGTCTATCATGGGAATCTCAGAAACCATGGAAGATACGAAGATGGTCAAATTAGGGAAAAGTGCAATTATCGAGTTATCATGCTTTCAAAAAAAACTAGAAAATTCCGATTACTTCCGAAGATATGCCAAAAAACCGATTTCGTTCTTAGTTTTTTCTAGTGTTATTTGAACAGATACATAAAGAAAAAAAACTTTCTCATTGATACCGTTCAGAGATTGCCAATACAACGTTTCGTTTCGGAGAAAACATCAACTTTATTTTTTTATATGGCCCGTAAATAAACTATACACACTGTATTGAGTAAAAAAACCAAACTTGGGAACTGTTGGTTCCAACATGATGGTGCACCCATGCACAACGCCCTAATAAAACGAAATCAGAAAATGTCTGTTTTTTTTGGCATGTCTTCGGAAGTAACCGGAATATTCTGGTTTTTTTTAAAGCATGATAATTACTGATTAATTGCACATTTTTTCTCTAATTTTTATGGTTTCGGAGTGCCCCATGATAGACATCCTTGTCTTGGACAGAGTGTATACCAAATCATATTTAACTCTGAGTAACCCCATATACAGAATCATGAATGTTTAATCCTTGATTATCCTGAATCCTTAAAGTTGGCGCCGCCGCTATAAGTGAGGTGGCCAAGGAATAATTGTTTTTCAGTTTTTCAGTCATGTTTCATAAAAAACAGAATTATCAGAATTGTGATATAAAAACGATCGTATGCATGTGAAATTGGTCCTACGAAGCCTGTTGTCAAATAAATCAATATCAAATAGTCTGAAAAGATCAATGGACGAGGAGGTCTTTCTGTTCCTAATACACGTCGTATTTGTTGAAAAAACTTATTTAAAATTTTTCTAGCTGCAGGAGAACATAATGCACGAAGAGCTCTTTCTGTTCCTACTACACATGGTATTTGTTGAAAAACTTACGTAAATATTTTCTGGCTACCAGGCGAACATAATGGACAAGACTTCTTTTCCTATCACCACCTATAACTAAAATTTCAAAGCTTTATTTCGGTTTAAATTTTTCCCAATTTGGCATCAGGAAAATATACTGCACGAGGAGGTCTTTCTGTTCCTAACACAGCTGTTATTTGCTGACAAACTTGTGTAAAATTTTTCTGCTTGCCAGGCGAACATAATAGACAAGAGGTCTCGTCTTTTTCTATCACTATGAGAAGTATTTCAAAGCTTTATTTCGGTTTAAATTTTTGACAATTCTGTATCAGGAGAATATAATGCACGAGGAGGTCTTTCTGTCCCTAATACAGGTGGTATTTGTTGACAAACTCTTATAAATTTTCCCGATTTTATCAACCAGAAGAAGTAGGAGAAAAGGAAAGTTTATAACAATCCAGTACAACACCCACTAGCTTGGGATTAGTTTTAGCTTATTACTCATTCGTGTACCAAGTTCTTGTGTGTCAACTTCCGAGCATGAGTTTTGGTTTGAGACACACAAACGAATGGACCGACAGTCATCGACTGTATTTTATTATGTAGTATAAATTTAGTGGGTTCAGCACTATAATTTTAGTGGCTGGAAACCTCCACTCTCTTGTGTGATGAATTACAGCAACAACTTTAGCATTGGGGACAAAAAAATGCCTCCTTACATTTAAAAGTGAGCGAAACCGCTAGCACAAAGAGACTAACAGTCAGAATTTAGACTTTGCGTTCCAAAAAATCAACATTCGAAGTGATCCCTTAAAGAAGGTATACCTTTCAATTTTCCACTTTGAGGACAATTCGTTTTATATTCGTATGAGGGAAGACCCGCAAAACAAAAAAAAACTTGAAAGTAATTCGCGACGCGGAGAAATAAAAAAGATTGTCCTGATCTTCCAATTTCAATACCGAGCACGTTTGCGCCTTTAATGGGGGACGCATTTTTTTTTCATAAATAAACTCTTAACTCGAATTTATCTCGCGAGTGTATTCCCAAATTGAATCGGACTGATTTATTTTGTCGAGAGAACTGCGAGAATCAATCAAACGCCTCCGTTTTATAAAGTCGATCTCATCTCGAGTTCATTTGAATTATTATGTATCTAAGTTAACTGCCGAGGAAATTCTTCTTAAGGTCCTCGTGCAAAAATGACGTGTCAAAGTAAATTAAACGAGTGGTTGCAACTTTGAAGAAATACAAATTATGGGTGCAAGTGCTCCATTTCGTCCCTTTCAGCGCTAAAAAGTTCCCTTTTGGTTGGATTTTTCCAGACCTCCTCTTTAAACCGAAATAGCTTAGTAACTGGTTGGGTTGTAAGGTAGTAGATTACTATCGACGTTTACTTTCTTGGTAGATGATTAATTGGCTCTTGACAACATTCAAAGCTGGCATACATAAAAAATCATCCGACACTCCATTCTGCAGATATTTGCACTGAAAACTTTAACATCACCTTCTCCCCACAACGATTTCTATCTCAGTACTTTCTGCATAAAAGTTAAATAAGGTTGGGCTAAGAGGACAGTTCATTTAAAGTCCAGAACATTTCAAACTCTTTTCCTCCTATCCCTACCCTAATTGTCGTATCTCCATATAACACCTTGATTCTGTTCTTAAAAATTATTATCTATTTTCCCATCCTCCATCAATTTCCATACTTTCCCCCACTGTCAAACGCTGCCTTTAACTCCACAAAAAAACGCTATCACCTTTCCATCCTGTTTTTCCAATGCTTTGTCCACTAATCTGTATAGTACCCTTCCTTTTCTAACTCCCATTGGTATTACCTCTAACATCCTCTTCTCTTCTACTTTTCTTTCTAACCTTTCATTCACCACTATCGTATATATTCTGTAGACAGTCATTATCGTGACTTCTCTATAATTTGATCCCTCTTTTGGAAAACGGCGCTATTACATTCTTCCGGTAGTCCTCTTTTCCTATTTTGTTTGTTAGTTTGCACAGCTTCCTCTTGATACTAGATATCTGTGGCGAAAATTCTCCGCCGCTTTCCCTTTCTTCAATCTCTTCTCTTCAATCACCTGCTTTTCTCCTGATTTCCTTGTAGCAACTTCCCGTCCTCTATTCGTATTTCTCTCTCACTTATTATATTTTTCCTATTTCTTCTGTTTATCATCCTCCTTCTCTGTTTTTGTTTTCACACTCAGCCTATGCACCACCATCATAAATAAACCTACGAACCCAACGCTGACTACAAAACAGACCGATTGGGCACAATTCACTGAATACATTACTCAACACATTAATCTTAACATAAGAATCAAAGACTCAGTAGATCTAGACGAAGCTGTACGACTTCACGACTCTGCTGCAAAAAGCTGCGTGGCAATCGACTCCCCGTGTCGAACCCCTAGAGGCCAGTTCCAAAGACATCCCGCTTCACATCCGACAACTAATTAGCGAAAAAAGAAGAGCCAGACGACTATGGCAGAGATCACGCCACTTGGAAGACTTGCACTATTACAGGAGGTTATCTAGACAACTTACTGCAGCACTAAAAGAAGCTCAAAACTCCACCTTTGAAGCATACATTCAAAAACTATCCTCTGATGAACATAGCCTATGGAAAACCACTAAAAAATTTAAAAGGCTCACTCCACCTAAGTCCCCGATAAGAATACGCGCCGATGAATGGGCCCGCTCTGACCAACAAAAGGTGGACGCTTTTGCAATCCATCTATCCCACGTATTTCAAGAACCAGAACCACCTCCCGGTGCCCTAAATGACGATATTGAAGCATTCATTGACATCCCATGCCAGTTGTCGCTGCCAATAAAACCAATCAACCTTTCTGAAGTTAAAACAGAAATATCGAAACTAAAACACCATAAAGCCCCGGGATACGATCTAATCACCAGCCAAATCTTAAAAAAGCTGCCACACAAAGCTCTTGTCCTCCTAACGACTATCTTCAATCGAATACTAAGCCTCTGCTACTTTCCTACTGCATGGAAATACGCTGAAATCATTATGGTGCACAAACCCGGTAAACCTCCACATGAAACATCTTCATTCAGACCTATTAGCCTGCTGCCTATCCCGTCTAAGCTAATTGAGAAACTAATACTTAAACGAATTCAATCAGACCAAGACCTAACAACCTTACTGCCTGATTATCAGTTTGGTTTTCGAGAAAGTATGTCAACACTCCACCAAGTCCACCGCATAGTGAATCAGATCTCCAAGAGTTTAGAAGAAAAACTATACTGCAATGGGGTCTTTTTGGATGTCTCTCAAGCATTTGATAAAGTTTGGCACATAGGTCTTCTCTACAAGCTCAAAAATGTGGTTAGTAGCAACTATTACCTTCTCCTGAAATCTTACCTCACTGATAGGAACTTCTCTGTTAAACTCAATGGCTCTGTCTCTCCCCACTATCCTATACATTCTGGGGTCCCTCAGGGAAGTGTGCTCGGCCCGCTCCTTTACCTATTATATACTGCCGACTTACCCGTCTTGCATAACGTAACCGTTGCGGCATTTGCGGATAACGTTGCTATTCTCTCCTCTGTGACCACGATCCGGTTACCTCCTCCGTAAACATGCAATCCCAACTCGACATGCTCAGTGAATGGTATTCCAAATGGCGAATCAAGATTAATCAAGCCAAATCAGTTCAAGTCACTTTTACCCAACGCAGAGAAATCTGTCCGGCCGTATCAATCAACGGTTCTCCCATACCTGTAAACACTGTAGTAAAATACTTAGGACTCCATTTAGACCAACGACTGACGTGGCAGAAACACATCCAAACGAAAAGGAAGCAGTTGGATCACAAAATCAAACAAATGTACTGGCTCATGGGACGTAAATCTAAACATTCTCTCAGAAATAAACTCCTGCTGTACAAAACCATGGTGAAACCCATCTGGTCTTACGGTATCCAGCTTTGGGGCTGTGCCAAACCCACTCGTTTAAAACCAATCCAAGCGTTCCAAAACAAAACACTCCGAGCAATCGTTAACGCCCCATGCCAAACCCACTCGTTTAAAACCAATCCAAGCGTTCCAAAACAAAACACTCCGAGCAATCGTTAACGCCCCATGGTACGTTAGCAACTTCATACTCCATCAAGACCTCCAAATTCCATATGTCACGGACGTAATCACCACTCTCTGCCGCGTACCAACAACGAATTACAGGTAATCCAAACGTCCTCATAGAAATCCTCTACAGGGATGGACCACCCATCAGATGATTAAACAAAACCTGGCCTGCTGACCTACCCCCGTAACACTAAGTGATAGTGAACTATAAGGTGGATTGTCAGTGGACACTTCCCCTTCCAAGTGAAAGTCATATATCACATTTACTTAATACTCTAAATGAAGTAGATTGTAAATTTGCAATAAAGATAAAAAAAAATGTTCATATTCTTTCTGTGTCTTCATCTTTTCTTGTTTGCATTTTCCTTTGTAATTTTTCTGTTCTCTAAACTCCTCCTCTATCTCTCTTTTGCTTTATTTCTCTATCATTGTTCTCAATCTGTTTCTTTTGTACACTCTCGGCCCCACCCCTCTTTCTATTATCTCTCCCTTCTCCTTCATTGCCATACTTTTGTCTCCTATTTTTTCTCCCTCTATAAATCTCCACAGTGTCTTTTGTGCCCCTTCTTCCATTTCTTCATCTTTTTCAGGGAATTAAAAAAATTCCCTTTCTGTGATGGTTTTGTCCGTCCGTCTGTCTGCCTGTTCCTCTTCTAACTCGATAACGAAAGGAGATGTCAAACTTTCGCTAATCGATTTCTCGTTCAAGAATCAGTGTAGTACAGTAGTGGTACAGACGGATAGACAGACAAAGTGCGGACAATAGCGTTCATTTTCCGTCTGGAAAATGCGCTAAAAAGAGTAAAGTAATGAGTATAGGGGAAGAAAAGGACGTAGTAGTTGCTGGAGCAGGTAGATCGATGCAAGCACACAGGTACGCAGCTGGAATTAGAGAAGGAGAAAGCAAGGAATGGTTGGGGTGGTGGCAAGCATCAAGAAAAGTCCAGGATAGCAGGATACATGGTTGAAGAAAGGCATAACGCAGGATTTGGTAAAGAAATGAAGGGTAAAAAGGAGTGGAAGCCGAGGAGAAGGAAAAACCGCACAATTTGTTCTTTCACTTGGTATGAAAGGGCGAAATTTAAATGGAAATAAGGCTTAAAATTCACACAAATATCAAATAAACGAAAGGAACAACAATAAACTGACAAGCAACGCAAATCTGTTGTATTAGGAGGGAAATGTAAGACATTATGGAGTAAGATGCTCGTAAACTTTAATCAACCGCCCCTGACACTCAAGAATACTAAATTTTGGTTCGTTAGGCCCTTCACGCACAATTAATAAAACCGAAATAAAACACAACATAAAAAGCAAAACGGCCGAATAAATTCCGAGATCAATGAAACATTTGCGCGGATAAATCTCCCGAGGATGTCTTGGGATAATTGTCGCCGTATAAAGCGGTAGGGCTTAGGGCGATTTCCAGGCAGTCAGCCGTATACGATAATATAAACTTTTGGTACACTTACCGTTTAGAACATGTACGGTGACGTTAGCGGGACGAGCATTAGAAGGGTTACACTGATAATTTCCAGAATCAGAAGGTCGGGCTTTTTGGATAAGTAAAACACTGCGACTCGTCTCTCCTCTTTCGGTTGCGACGCTTACACCACCTCGGGAACTCGAGTAGCTGATTATCTGAAACGATTTATTATAATGAAACTAAAAGGGTATAATAATACTAACTAAAATTGGTTATTAAAGGGTATAAATTAGAGAATGGTTAAGGAAAATCCAGCAGGATACATGCATAACGCCCGAGGAGAAGGAAAAACCGCACAATTTGTTCTTTCACTTGGTATGAAAGGGCGAAATTTAAATGGAAATAAGGCTTAAAATTCACACAAATATCAAATAAACGAAAGGAACAACAATAAACTGACAAGCAACGCAAATCTGTTGTATTAGGAGGGAAATGTAAGACATTATGGAGTAAGATGCTCGTAAACTTTAATCAACCGCCCCTGACACTCAAGAATACTAAATTTTGCTTCGTTAGGCCCTTCACGCACAATTAATAAAACCGAAATAAAACACAACATAAAAAGCAAAACGGCCGAATAAATTCCGAGATCAATGAAACATTTGCGCGGATAAATCTCCCGAGGATGTCTTGGGATAATTGTCGCCGTATAAAGCGGTAGGGCTTAGGGCGATTTCCAGGCAGTCAGCCGTATACGATAATATAAACTTTTGGTACACTTACCGTTTAGAACATGTACGGTGACGTTAGCGGGACGAGCATTAGAAGGGTTACACTGATAATTTCCAGAATCAGAAGGTCGGGCTTTTTGGATAAGTAAAACACTGCGACTCGTCTCTCCTCTTTCGGTTGCGACGCTTACACCACCTCGGGAACTCGAGTAGCTGATTATCTGAAACGATTTACGTTAAATTATTAATATGGAATTTAGGGCGCGCGCCCCTCCCCAAAATCAGAATAATGCTAATCGTATGATACAAACCCGGTATGTATCTAACTAGGGTAGCAAATTGCCTTCAAGCTCTGTTAAGTCTTAAAAGGGTATAACCGTAATTACATGTTGGGGAAACGTGGAGGATTTACTTGACGTTTGTGTAAGATATAAGCTGTTAATTTTAGTTTAACTACATATTACAAACGCAGATTAATTATACACGTTTACAAAAAACCGACCCGCCCCTTGAAAACATTGAAAATTTTGTAAATTAACCAAAATTTGTCTTTCCTTTTTGATAAAAAATGGGAACGGGACCAAATTGCCAACGTTTATAATGTACTCGAAATTTTGTCATTATTTAAGCGTAAATTACAATGAGTTGTAGTATTAATAATTGATGCGTTTTCTGCTCTTGTTTTTATAAAATCACCTATCATTAATTCAATATCCTTATTTAGTACAACTTTAGCAAGAAAATGAAACTGGTAAGCCACGTTTCAGATCAGAAGACCTCAAAATTGGGGGAAAATAACATGACTAAATAAAAGAGTAACGGAGGGTCCCCCATTTTTCAGTGAAATGTACCTGATCGGTTGCTTCCAATGCACATTTGTCTCCATGTAAATTTACTGTCAGATGAAACATACAAAGCTGAAAATTTTGCAATAAACATGAAGCCCTACTTAACGGGTTATATGACGGGCTAAATGATTTATGATATTCATAAGGCGAAAATTTATAGGCGAAAGTGTGTTAGACATTTCGAAAAGTGTTTCGAGTGAATGACGTTTTATTAAATTTTACAACGGGACTCGAAGTTGAACTGTGCAAAATTAATAAAATGCACTTCTCATAATAATAAATCGAGTCCTTCTTAGTAGATTTGACGTGGAACATTTTTCGCTCCCCGACAGATGGATCAATTATATAGTAACTATAAAGCGACAGGAACAGGAAATTTATATTTCACCGAGACGATTTTTAGAATCTTGCGTTTTCAGCATTAATTTATGCAAAATGCGTTTAACGCAAATCCGGAGCGCTACCGCTGATTAAAGCCTAGACTTCAGTGTTTAGGGGATAGGCCTACATTAATTTGCACAAATCAATAAATCGCAATTATGTTTAATATTGTAATCCATAAGTGAAATATTTTATTAATCGCGAAACAATTTCAATTAGGGTCATTTACAGTCAATGAATCGAAAAAATAAAAATAAATAATCGTTTGTTGTGTATGAAAGGATCCTGCATATGCAAATTGAATTGCTAGTATTAAATTTATTTTCAATTTTTCACCTTCTGCAGCTTCTAACAGGGCATTCGAGAGGGAAGGCGTGTGAAACATTCGTAGGTCAGATCTGGAAGAGAAAGCTCCAAACGTTTTCTTTTTAATTTAGAATGTTGGCTCATAGCTCCTTCATTGAGTTTTTTAATTGTCGTTTCTGTTCAGTCTTTGACAAGGCATCGTGATTCGACGCTCAAACAAAATTCTTTCTTCCAAATTTGCACTGGCAATTACATCCCACGGCTTTTTTTTAAATTCAAAGATACCTAATGGATCCCCTCTACGTATCCCTCAGTTTTTCCATCCAAGAAACTAGCAAGCAGGTTGCATAAAAAGCAGATCAACGGACGACCAGGAGGATGATTGCGAAGTCTAATCGAAAAAGTACGAATCGTTTTGGATTCTACGCACCAAAATTAATAAGAAAAAGTGTTTTCCCGAGAAATTTTGGTGTAGTCGATTTTTGGTAAAAAAGGAAGGTTAACACTGCCTTTTTTTGAGGCCCCAAAAAAAATTGTCTCAGATCGACCGGAAAAAACATTTTCTTATAGAATATGGCCTGTAGATTCCATAATTTCAAACAGTTCCAAGATTGGGCTACTAGATCAAAAGTTACAGCCCTTTGAATTTTCTTTAGAAATTGGTTTTTAGTCCATAACTTTTGATTGCGAAGTCTAATCGAAAAAGTACGAATTCGTTTTGGATTCTACGAACCAAAATTAATAAGAAAAAGTGTTTTCCCGAGAAATTTTGGTGTAGTCGATTTTTGGTAAAAAAGGAAGGTTGTACACTGCCTTTTTTTGAGGCCCCAAAAAAAAATTGTCTCAGATCGACCGGAAAAAACATTTTCTTATAGAATTGGCCTGTAGATTCCATAATTTCAAACAGTTCCAAGATTGGGCTACTAGATCAAAAGTTACAGCCCTTTGAATTTTCTTTAGAAATTGGTTTTTAGTCCATAACTTTTGATTGCGAAGTCTAATCGAAAAAGTACGATTCGATTTGGATTCTACGAACCAAAATTAATAAGAAAAAATGTTTTCCCGAGAAATTTTGGTGTAGTCGATTTTTGGTAAAAAAGGAAGGTTGTACACTGCCTTTTTTTGAGGCCCCAAAAAAAATTGTCTCAGATCGACCGGAAAAAACATTTTATTATAAAATATGGCCTGTAGATTCCATAATTTCAAACAGTTCCAAGATTGGGCTACTAGATCAAAAGTTACAGCCCTTTGAATTTTCTTTAGAAATTGGTTTTTAGTCCGAGAAATTTTGGTGTAGAGATTTTTGGTTCTCTTCCCGATGATGTAACATGTTAGTACCCTAATCCAAGAAAATTTTTCAAAGAAATGCATTACGGTACTAACATGTTACATAATCGAAAAGAGAAAAAAAATCTCTATCAAATAAGCCTAATGAAAAGGCCCACTGCCATTTAAAAAAAATGCAATTGTTTTTCGTAACTGATTTGTTTTCTGAAATAAAAACAATTGAAAGCTGGCTTATTATGGGAAGCAACTTTCATATAGAAAAATGTTGTGTACATTCGATATTTACCGATTATGCAATCTCATTATTTTAACACTGCCGACTATGTAAACTACTTGACATTCTTTCTTTTTGAATTAAACTCAAATCTTCTTGTTAAATCCGGTGAAAGATTGCAAAAATGTTTACGATGTTTAAGTACCTATAGAAAAATTAGAGAGTTGGCTAGTCTCTGAAACGGTCTCGAATACTTTATTGTAAATTTTAACCAATGTTGTTTTACTTCCGTTGCAATTATACTCTAATTATAATTTCAGAACGGTTAATTTGTTCAGCACCACCGAAAAATTCTTTTTTATCCCATGCTAATTAATTTTCTTGTCCTTCATAAAACTTTTCTGGCTCTAGATTCACTCGCACAATGAATGCGTCCAAGTTTTCCGTTCTGATTTTGGAACTGATATGCCCTGCTCTGTTTGCTACTTTGCAAAACCGGAAACGCCAACTCGCAAGTTTTCATTTACACAAATGAGAAACAATTCAACTTGTGCACGCAGAGCAAGGGGTGGTTTACGTGTCGTAGAAAAGCAACAGTTTTACAAATGACTGCGAACCTTCAGAAATATGACATTAACGTATAAGGATTACAATAGCCGATTAATTAACCCAGTTGTATTCTGCCCATGAGTGTACACAGATCGAACGAGTTTTCGCGGGGGGTAAAACTGACGCGCAACTGCGGAAAAGCCGGAGTCCTCGCGTGGTGCCACTTGCTAGCGCCATCTGGCTTAGTCCCTCCTCAGGTACTTGGTGTTGTGGGTGCGTTATCCTCGCGTTATCCTCGAGACGTCGCGCTTCATATCTCCTGACTGTTTGGATTTCCACGTTTCGTATGCACTCCTTACCCTTGTCGTAAATAAAAGTGAACTTTCCCCTTCTTTCAGCCCCCATAGTATAGATTTTAAAGGATTATTGTAGTTTCACATGAACTGGCGAATTTTGTAAAATTATGTGAAGTTTCTCATGGTTCAGAAACTTTTTGTGGCAATTCCCCCGTAGCATTTAGAGGAGTGATTGATAAGTGATCGAAGAATTGGATTTAATCGAAAGGTAATTTGTTGTGCGTAAACATTCACTCCGCCCCCGCGGATAATTAAAATCGTTTTAAGCTACCAGCGCCGTTCGAACGCTTCGATTATACAACAAAAAAAACAGTTTACTTCCGTAGATAAAAGGAGGTAGATTGATTCTTTTACGCGATGAGTAGCTTTATCGAAAGACTTATTCTTTACAAGCACTATATATCATGCTGCTGCTGCTGTTAAGTCGGCGAGTTTCTAGAATTTATGGGTGCCCGTTAAGGAAATGTATACCTGTATCCAATATTAATGTTACCGTCTTATATAATTGCACTTGGAATGTGTTATGTGTTAGATTTAA